ACTTACCATGGAGGCTTGGGAGCTTGTGCTCTTGAATATTACTCCTTGCTTCCTGACTTTACCTCTTCCTTTGTCAGATGCTGCCGCGTCGCAACCAACGGTTCTGGCCCATATATTGCCGTACTTCGGAGCCAAAATTCGTCCCATTGTTGGAGGTCGTCCCAAACTTGAAAGAGCTCAGTTTCGCGACAGAATTAGATCACAGCAACATAATTTGTTGATGTCACTACAGAGGATTCAACCATGACTTTCAAATGAGCGTCCCACAGCCTGTAGAGCAGCCAGTACAGAAAAAAAAAGTGCAGATATGCTTGGAGTGCTGAGAGAAAAAGACTTTGGAAACAACTAGAAATGCAACTGTTGGAGCTGGAAAGAAGGGCGGTGACGATAACGAGGAGGATCAGGAAAAGCTGTATGTTTGGTTGGATATCATTATAGGTGTATTGTAGACGCGTTTTTTGTCAACACAAAGAAGCAACGGTGCTTACGGGGCTGCGTGAAGCTGGCTTAAGCCTGAGACGCGTCAAGCAAGATTTGAATGGTTAGGTGTCTCGTGAATTGTTTCTTAAGCATCGACAGCTCAGCTCGCTTGTGTGGCCAGCAAGATCCGAGAGAGGTCGACGAACCCTCGACAGGGCAAAAGCCATCCCTTTTAAATGACAATATTACGTCCACTTGGGAAAGATATTATTGGGCAACTTCTTTAAAAGACCATGACTTTTCGTATCATTGTTTTTATTAATCACATCATTGAAAAAGACAATAGTGAGTATGTGTTAATATTTATTCTTTTTCTATCATCCGATGATGCAAGGTATCTACAGAAGAAGCTATGGAATTCCTTACCGCGACAAAAAATCTATTCTCGCTGATAGCTGGTAGCTGCCGTTAAGTTTAATCGTACCCAAATTAAGCCGAAACCACTATTAGTACGCTTATAACTGCAAGTATCGTCGTTGCTGCCGGTGAAAACAAAACTTTCTGATGGGTGTTGCCAATGTGATTAGTAATAAAAAATAAGCATAGCAAAATAGCCGATAAGGCGCATCCATGCATCATTAATGCTACTCCACGGACCGATGGCCAGCCAACTGAAAAGTATACTTTACTTATAGTACGCTATCAAAACTCAGGGCAAAGTGCGTACGTTAGTAAGAAATGATGATGTTGTTCTGTTTCAGACGGGTTGGATTCTGGATATGTGCCATTCGCACTGTTCTGTCACTAAGTTAGGGTTATTTGATACAGTCGTCCCCTTCTGATTCCAAACTCGTTAACTTTCAACCCTCGCTACTTTCAAAGTTGTTGAAGTTATCAAACAAACAAGAATAGCAGGGAGTACTGAAACAAGTTGTTCTCGATAACTTTCTACCCTCACTAATTTCACGATAAATTTGCAAATCCGCGCTATGAAATTAACGAGGGTCTACTGTATGAAGAGAAAACAATGTTTGGATCTTTTGCAAAGTGAAATAAAAATAGAGTACATAGCTAATTACCAGCAGTACATGTCATTAATGGATACACCCAACATTGAGTTTTCTTGATTATTCAGCGTTTGCATGAAATTGCGTCTACAGTTTTCTATATGTTCTTTCTAAGTGTGTACAAAATTTAATATGTATGAGTCATAAATGATATACGCGTACTAACAATAGTACCACGTTGTTCACGATTCTGCATGTATGACCTAATTCCCTGTCAGTATTCGTCGCCATCGTTGTCGTCATCTAAATAAAGAGTTAGTGTATCGTTCTTGGAAATCAGACTACAATATGTGTAATGTAGTCTACACGGGAAACCAGCAGGGAATCGTCCTTTTGATAAGCGCCAAAATGTTAAATGGTTTTGCGAGAACTGCCGTTTTGAAAAATAAAGACAAATAGAGATGGTCCAATGGCTTATAAAAGTTATAATGCATATGATGTGTGTGTCCCGGGAAATGTATTCTCCATTTTTACATCTTCTATCTGGCTATAATGTCATATAAGTAAATGATGATCTTATCCATCTTCTCATCATATAGAGCTGGGAACTAAACTTTTTTATGTCCCCGTAAACCAATGGATCTTGAGAAAGACTTTATTTCCTCTAAAGAGTGTTGTACACACACCTCGCAGATACACAATGATTATACTTTATAGTACACGAAGAGAAACGAGACGATTAAATATGGGTTCTGTTCCGGTGATCATTGTTCTCAGTAGCGGGTCCGTTCGGTAAATCCGCACAGTGCATTGCACGTATAAGGTAAATGGCTAACCGCCATATTTATACAGCTCATCAGTTTGCTATCCATCGCACATCTTGGAGAATGGAAAAAGCAAACGAATTGGAGGGACAGAAATTCGGCGTTTTAGCCGTTGCATCGACAGAGTATCATATAGGCAGATTGTGTGCACGCTACGCGGGTCTCGGCCTTGACTGTATTCGGAGAGAGGGGCGAGAAGAGGGGGAGGGTGCAGTGGATGATCATATGATTTTCTTGATCAGTATAGGTGCACAAGAGGTTCTTTCCTCTTCTGAGAACCGCTGGGCTGGCAATACGTCGCAGTGGCAGTAACCATCGTGATCTGTGCCTATGTAAAATTTGGTTCTCCCATTCTTTACGGATGAATTTAATATGAAGAGAAACAAAAAGTGCTTTGGGTTACCGAGAGTAAGGTAGCATGACTGTGTTAAGATCCGTCGGGTAGGACAAGCAGCGGCGGATCAGTAATGTTTTGCACCCAGCCTTTCTGGCGTCAAGACTAGACAGCGACGAACCTAGCAGAGCAAAGGTCAGGGAGAGAGAGAGAGGGAGAGAGAGCAGGCAGGAGCGCGGGCCCCAAACCCGAAGCACAGGGTCTGACACACTCTTGGGCTAAAAACAGCCGATCTCTCTCTATTTTCGTCCCGCAGTTGTGGCTCTCTGATTGGATGAGAACCGTGAGAAATTTTCACCCAATGAGGCAACCTCATGCTATGTACGAGAAACTTTTAACGCACCCCTTCTCCCATTTATGTAACTGAGCTGTTTCTCTTTTACTTTCCTTCTTCGCTCACTCCCTTTTCCACTCTCTTTTCTTTTCTTTTTGTTTCTTTTCAACACGTTACTGCAAATAATTTATCCGCGATTTCGGCGATCGTTCGAGGTCTAAGGCGCTAACAATGAGGCAGGAATTCCAAGACGGTTTTCAACACACTGTGTATCCGCTTGCAACTGCTGTTTCGTCTGTGCCGACGTCCTCAGTGGTCAACCCGCCGAGCGATGCAATGGAGGAATGCATTGACTCTCCCACAGACGCATTAGAAGACGACGATTACGAGGACGACGATATTGACGAAGACGACGTAAGTTTGGACGAACAGCCTGCCACAACGACAACGACGACTACAAGCGAAGAATCTTGTTCCTTTTCACCTCGACGAGCGATTGAAGCAAAGCAAATAGCGCAGCAACAACCGCTGGCATCTTCAGCAACAGAAGCGGCAGCAGCAGCATCATCAGCACCTCAAGCACTATTCTTGAATTTCACATCGGACCTAGAGCCGCACGTAAATGTGAGAGGATCTAGCAAGCCAAAGAAAACGCCTGCGTTCAAAGTGAACGGCGTCAATCTACTGAACCGGTAAAACCGAATTGATAGGCGAATAAGTGTCTTTCGTTTGCTAACGCCCAGCTGGTTTTCTTTTCGGTGGTTGCAGTAAAAATGTGGACAGCAAAACCGCAATTGAAAGAATCCAACGTCGGCGCGAGAACCACAACCACGTTGAACGACGCAGACGCGACAACATCAACAACACGATAATCGAACTATCGCGCATGGTACCTCATGCAGTTCAGCACGGACAGAAGCTTAACAAGGGCAAGGTGCTCAAGATGGCGCTGGACCATATTCTTGTAAGGTTAAGAGCACGCTGTCATGACGCCAACCCGTATGATTTAATTTTGGTATTTTTTTGGGGGGGAAATAGGATTTGCAACGGGAAAACCGATTACTCAGGCAACGGCAGGACCAACCAGATGAGGACCGAACAGCCGGCCATTTGACACTTTCGGACAGATTTGCCAAGCACGGCGCTTCAATTCCACAGAGGGGCGGCTGTGGAACAACAACAACGACAACGACAACGACAACGACAACGACAGCAACGACGACAGCAGAACGGATGCCTGTGAGCACTGCTGTTCCTGCTGCGCTGACTCATTCTGAGTTGATGAATAGCAGATGCGCTTTGCCCAGTCACGTTCCCCCACCCTCGGCTCCCACTTCACCCTTACACTCGTCGCCATCCACCACGATTCCTACGACGATGCACGTGCCGCCGCAGCAACAACAACATAAGCAGCAGCAGCAGCAGCATTCTATTTCTTTACCTAATTCACCACTGAATGGCCCTGTTCCTAATATGACACTTCCTCCTCTCCACCCCACTGCACCTATGTCTTTTTCTACAGCTTTCCAACCTCATCCGATGCTACATCATGCTGCCCATCTGCATACGCCAGCTTCGCACCCACAGCAACCAACACAAACATCGCAACAACAACAACAACAACAACATCATCATCATCATCAGCAGCAATTACCTCCAATAGGAATACGTCATCAAGCTGAGCCAAGCTATGCATCGTCTTTATCTTCATCCACCGCATCATCCAGTGTCTTACCGCCACTGCAGTACGAGAAGCTGTACAATGGCACGTGTAAATTTTAAAAGGACAGTGTTCAATTCTTTTTTTTTTGGTTGTTTTTCTTGCATTTGTTTACTATTTTCTTTTTTCGTTTTTTATATGACCTGCATTATGTTTGTTTTGATTATACATAGTTTGCGCAACAAATAAGTTTGCTTTATAAACAAAATGCAGATCGTTCTATAATAATTGAGAGAGGGAGAGAGAGAGGGCGAGAGATAGTAGGTATGTGTACACAACGTATAGCAGTAATGGTTTTGAGGTGGGTGGGGGGCTAGCTGTTTGCATTTGGGAGAACACGGAAAGATGAGTGTGGACGAGTGGGACAATGTATTATGAAGAAAAAATTAGTAACAGAGGAAAGAGTGGTAGAGTGACTGTGTTGGTATGGGAGTAAGGATGTGTAAAAGTGAGATAGAAGAGTGGTTATTACTGTGTATCCGCGGCTGGCAGGTTCATTGCCGATCTGAAGCCACGTATTTTCTGACACTCTTCTCTGAGGTTGTCCGCCTTGGGAGAGTCCCACTCGCCTGTAGCAACAAACACACGTGCATAGCGCAGACACAGCTCTTCTCTAAAGTTGCTGTACAGCTTGCGATTGTATTGTCGCTACATGATGTGTGGAAGCATGTGCTCAGAGCTTTAGTAAACCAGAATCATAGTGCATACGGCCGTCTGTCTCTTATTCCTACCTCTTTCCGTCGTGTGGCCTCTGGGTATTCATGCGTCTGGTGGATGAGAAAATCATCGGGAAGGACCCAGTAATCGATCCCAGAAAGGAAGATCTCGTAAAGACATGCTGCTTTGTTTGCGCCATAACCAATAAACCGCTCGTCACACCACGGCGATCCGTCTTTCTTGTAGATAATGTACGGCTCATAGGAGAAATTGTAGTCGGTCACTTTGTACAGGTCCGAGGTCTCGTACCACTTTGTGTAATTTGTAGATCCATGGCCCTTGAGCCATGACTTGTGGAACATGTCCAGCTTGCCTGCTTCGACCTCGTCGAGCAGTGCATCCTTGCTAGTCGGGAACGTGTGCCAGTCGAGCCCATCGTCGCCGACCACGTACTCGAATGCAGGCACGACCAGAGCCGTTGTGCCCGTGGCAAGCATCTCCATCATGCGCGGGTCGCTGCGAATACGTTGTCGGAAATTCGTGCATAAATGAAAGTCGACGTCCAGCATCATGATGTAATCGGTACGCGAAAAGAACTTTGCAACGTTACGCCAGAGGTTGAACTGGCGATCAAAATTGTCCAGCACCAGATGGACGTCCACGTATTTCTGCATATCTGGATTGCCATCGTAGGCTGCGTGGAGCTCTGCCAAGACTTCCTCCTTGGTCTCATCGTCGTTTACATGAATCGCAGCCGAGATCGGGCCTAATGGATTGCATAAGCAAAATGGTGTGTGAAATAAAACGATGAGTCCCCTGCCCTGATTATTCTGCGGGAAAATTACTGGAAATAGCAGGTACAAAAAAAGACACGCTTCTCACCTTGGTGATGGCTGGCCAACCGGCTCAGGACCTTGAACCGGTTTCTAGTCACCAATGTCGCCATGGTGATATCGCTGTCATCAAAGGACTCGCTCGCTTGTCGATAGAATGGCTTGAGGTTGACTGGACTCATGGCGTCGGAAAAGATTTTCGAGAAGACATAGCTCTCCGACATCCTTTGCGTTGTAGCACCTGAATATGCATTTCGGTTACATTAGCTATGGGAACGATCCGGACTGCCCAAAATCTTAGATATCTCTTACCTTCATCATCATACGTCCAAGCAACGCTGTGCCCGTTGCTACCTGTCTTTTGATTCATCGGTTGTTCCTTTACTGCTAAGGGGTGGTGTGCTGCTGCAGCTGGTGGTGGTGGAGGAGCAGGGGGAAACTGGGAATCAGCAAGTGATGGCGGCTTGAGATCGCCAAGTGAATCTGCATTCGGAAAGACAAGTTCATCTCCATCAGCTCGAGGAAAGATTGGGGTTGTGTCTTCGGTTAGAATGGAGCGATCGGAACCATGGGAGGAGTAAAAGTGGTTGGCGGTTAGGACGAGCGATACGACGGTATACAGGACGAGTAGATACTTTGCGCTTCTCGAGCATGTCTGTGAAACTTCGTATCTCATTGAGCAATTACAGCAGAACTAGCGGATAAGCAAGTTATTTTTTGCTGTTTTGTTAATTGTCTTTTGTAAAGAAGGGTAGTAAAAGAGAAAGAGAAAAGGGGAGAAGCGATCGAGAACCGGTAGCTGGGACGAATGCAGAAAAAAAGAACACAAAGCGGACTTGCACTGACTTTTCTTTTTGCTCGTATTCGTCGATCCCCATTTGACCCTTTCGGTCTGTCTCGTCCTTTCATGCCCACTATGTCTTTTCTTCTCTGCGCCCCATGTTGCACTTGCAGCTTCATTGATGGTCGCATAAGATACAGAATAACCAATATATATAGAATTTACTCCTACCTCCCGTAGTTAAGCATCTTATAGGGCAAACAAAGGATAACATTCAAGTTCTAGCACCGATTCCCCGATGATAATATATACTCCAGCATTCCACATTTAATTATTGTATTACACGTTTTTTTAGTCTATCTTTTAGATCGTCGAATAATTATATTTACGACCCTTCCGCCAGAGAACCCCCTTTTCCATCTAAAGTAAACAACACAAGCCGATGGAATTCTTTTTGTTTGCAATGGCGACGATAGCCCATTCTTTCTTTTTCAACTCTCGACAACACAATGACAGAAGTGGTAGTTGGATGACATTTTCTTACGCTTTTTGAAACGACCCTATCTTCAATCATTAGGTCACGGGACCTGTGGGAGAGCAGAAGGAAGCACTTAGCCGACAGACACATTAAACATGGGCATGATGTACAGGTAGCGATAAGCATATGTGGTGCAATAACTAAGCGTATATGATATAAAATAGTCTTTGATGCAAAACCTCGGTAATCCATTGACGCTTCTTTTTTGAGAATATAAGCCAAGTCCCGAAATGGCCGGATGATGTGATTTACCGGTCAAGTAGCGTTTCACAGGCGTAAAACGAGCTAAACGATAGTGCGCTCCCAAACTCTGTACTAGTGCACAGCATCGCTATCAACAGTATATAAAAACAGTGCTCAGCATGAATCCCTCCCCCGTCCCCAGTAGACATGGAATGTGTAGCGTAGCAGCAAGTGCTGTCAAAAGGAAAAGGGTCCTGGTGCAACATATGATGTATAGTTAAATGCGCATATATAAAATCTATGATGGTGTTGATGCATGTATATGATGTGATATATATTACTGTGTCTTTTTCTCCTCCTCTACAGTTTCATGAGCAACATGCGGCACCTTCTTTTGCAACACATATTTCTCTACTGGCTCAAAGATCTTATCCACTGCCGTTTCTACAGGATGATCAAACATGTAGGGTAGAAACGGCAAGATACCCAGACCCATAAATGTCGGTCCCCAGCCCTTGACCTTGGCATTCTTGACATTGGCAAAGATCGTTTTTGCGCTATACTTTACAAGCGAGTGAATCGTCAACATTGGAAATGCCATACTGGCCAGCGATTGGAAAACACCCCGTTTTACAACCATGGTGGCGACAGTGGCATTGTCCTTATTGTGCGATTTACGAACAAAATAAAATATAAATAAGTTAGTTTCTAACCATGGGGCACACTCATTCCCTCATTCCTTTCCTATTACCTTGCCAGCCTGGACTGCCTTATAACCCTCATAAGATACATCGAGACCGAGATAGGCCCAACTAATGCCATACGCAGCTTTGACAACTAAAGGAGATACAATGGGACGAAAGGCTTCACCGACATCACTTGTATAGGCCAAATAGCGCGAAGAAGCCGTCAGGGCTGTTCGTAGTCGAGCACCATAAGCGAGATAACGCGCGTTGGTGTCGATAGAGTCAATGTCACCATGTTCTATTTGTTCGGTCAAGCTTTCATGGTGCTGCTGTGGTTCTTCTCCCGCCATTGTTGTGTAAATCCCGCAAACAAAAGAAAAGCAAAAGAGGAAAAAATACAGCCAGCCTACTGGATTTGGAATATATCAGTGACGAGTCAGGTAAATCGGTTATACGATTCTTGCGTCGTTAACAGACCGGCTGATTGATTTTACCGGTCTGTCAACGACTTATTTTGTTCCGTTCCTTCAACGAATCATCGCCCTACCTTAGTACATTCCCGATTTTGATGCAGCGGAAAGAGAAATGCTTTTTACCGAGAGCGGCATAATACAAGTCTTTTATTTTCGATCACGCTACGGGCTGCCTCTCTTAATATTCTCGACCAAGGCACTCATTGTGTTTTATGGTATCTCAATATTCTCACTGAACTTGACTTTTAAATCATAGAAGCGACAAGACCTTGTTCCTGGGATGCCACTAATCTGGCTGAACGTTTGGGTCCTTTGATCTTGATTGCTTTGGGTTAATTGGCCTCTCTCTCTTTCTGTCAAAGGATACTACGCGTCTTCCATATTTTGGGCTTATATCATATCTAGGCGAGAATTTGATGGGTCTGATTGCACTGGTGACAATGTCAGACATGAATCCTCTAGTCAAGTATCTCCAAACTTTATGACTGTCGTCATCAGTGTCGGCTTCTTTTTCATGCACTTTGAGAGTTTCACCAAAGAGGTCTTTTGGGTCTACTTGTATTTCCCTCTGAATTTATGTCACGTTGCCTATGAATCGCTTTGATCGGTGTGTCGGTTTATTTTCTTAATAATCATTCTGTTTATAAGTTGGGATCGGTGAAGCTGAGCCCTTGGAAATTTATCATTATGGATTGAAGTTATATCGAGGACAAATGACTGCTGCTGGTATTATTGCCGAGAAAGAGGACTCAACTGCACATGAAAATCATGATTTGAAATCATCGAGCACGCCAGAAGACTACTGAAACGAGTCAGTGGAGATCATGCTGCCACTGAAAATAATGGCACGAGCAGTTGGGACCATACCACAGAGAGAAGCAGCCCATTGACCCATAAGACGTGCCATCGAATCCGTATACCCATCATTAATCGATCAACAATAACAACGATGACGACACAACGACTCTTTGGTTCCATTCTTTGGAATGCGAGTTTTCCAAGCTGAAACTCGACACCATCTCATCTTCATCATCATTGATCTCATCCAATAGCAAACAACATTACATTGGTGACTATTTGACACACTCCCAACATATCATCAGTATTACTGCATTAACAGCCTTGCAAGCCCTCGATATTGCCAGCGACCCCACCACGATTTATCATCATTTCGCTAAGCGAGCGGGAGGAGATACTTTGGATGTCAACTTTACGGACGAGGAAAGGTGTTTAACGTATTAACAGTAAGCCGCATAAAGGTTAGAAAACCAGGAGTGCGTCGCATCACAGCGACACAGAGTATGATTGTCGCCAGTGTGAGAAAAGAAAGAACCACGTAATACTCTAGCCACAACTTCTCCTGTCTAGATTAAGTTAGTTTGTTTTTTACCTAAAAAGACATACTGTATTGAAGAAGATAAAGCGACTCTTAATCAAAGCTGCAGCCTACAAAAACAACAACAACAGTAGTAGTAGTAAAAATAGCAAAAACAGCTAGTTAGAGAGAGACTCACTACATTGTGAGACCAACAACGTATGCAGCAAAAAAAAAAAAAGAGAGGAGCTTGTGGTGCTGATGATTCTTTTTTTTAAAAGGATTGCTGACCAGAAGTACCATTAGTAAAACAGGGGTCATCGCTGCCAAACCTTGTCTTTATCGGATGGCGCAACTACTGTTATAAATTGAAACAGTAACAGGGATTCATCATACTACCTTATCATAACTCCTTTGAGAATGTTTGTGGTTGCGGAATCTGTAGGTAGCCCTTTTATGGTATATGTTGACAGCGTCACACATTCATGCGTTATGTGCAGCCATGGGGGCTGTTTCCTCGGGGAACTGCATGCGGTCGGGCGCCCTTTTTTTGGGGGCCGATAGATTTGTTACATGATATAGAAGTACAATCGCTCGCTTAGTTACTGTACATACTCGGAAAAACAAACAAATCAATTGAAGGTTTTCATGTGGTGTAAGGTGTGGGTACATGTACTACTACCAACTACAACATGTAGCTATGATAAAAGGAAAACAAAAAAGTGATGCAAGAATTGGAAAAAAATTTTTTTTTTGCTATAATCTGCTTTTGTGCTTTTAGTTATTTGTGCTCCTGCGTTACGTCTTCATCTGTCCGTCCGTATCGCGTGTTATGTGATACACATGTACATGATGCCTAAAGCATTGTTGTTTATAATTAGAACACAGCTATGCAAGCTATGCAAGCATTCCACTCGCTCGACGGTCTGTCGGTCCGTTTTAGGGAGAGAGGTGGGACGGATGGGCGAGGAAGAAGGAGCGGAAATGATAACAGATGAAGTGATGATCACTAGTGTAAGTTGAAGCTATCTTTCAGTCGCAATAGATGGTAATGATGTGTTAATATTCCGCTCAAATTTCTCATCAACGACAAGCCGACGATGACGCATTGTAAGTTTGGTACTTACAAAATGAGCAAGGAAGAGATGTCAAATATTAAACACACAACAGAAAAAAACAGTAAAAGCATTAGATCGAGCAACATAACGCACCGAGCTCAAACGAATGGACATTACGATACGACAAATTCGACGTCCAAATCCCTCTCTTTCTCATGACATAATCGAGCATTATAGCAAAGCGCCCATTATTATTCACGGACGCCTCCAGAAAGATAAGATGTCATTAAATGGTTTTACCGTGTCTTTTAGAAGTAAAAACTTATCTTTCGTGTCCTCTTCTATACAACAGGAGATATGAAATATAATACAATCTAGTAGCAGCAACGGCCCTTTAATAGATACAAGACAGCTCATATTCACTTTCTGGTAATGTATAGTGAATGTATCTACCATTAAATAACTATGCTATAGTCCCCATCGTTCGACAAGATGTCTAATATAATAAAGCTAACTGTCTTCCATTTTCATTCCTGTTTGTAAGCAATATACATAAAAAGGCGCAACAACAATATAGTCTATCTTGATAAGCGACGTACAGATATGCAAACCCCTTAAATGCAGTTAAAGATACACAGTTTACTGTACACGGTAATTTAAAGATGATGATGGTGCTACTGCTAATGGGTTTAAATGGCATGACCGCGTCCGTAGTACTCAAAAGGCGAAGAGAAGAAGCATGGTATGCCCTTTCTGAAAGCTCAATAGCATTGTTGATTTCCTCTACCGCTGTTTTATTGAGCTTCTATAGAATCCATCCGATCCGTAGCTTGGCAACAAAAACATCCAATGAAAGCACGCGTAAACAAAACTGTGCAATGTCACTCGCTCTTCTGGCAATTTACAGGCATGTTAGTAAGAAGATTAGCGTAAAAGAAATCTAGAAGGGGATTGAACATACTACAGACTGTCGGCAAACATTCATTTCTCGCTATTATATTGTGATATGGCACAATCGTGGATAAGAAAGGTCAGGGAGCCCAAACATTTTATCTACATTTGGAGATGCATGTGGCGCAATAAGACATACGGTTCGGCTTTTAACGTTTTATGCGATTTCTTCCGATGCTCTCTCTCAGTTTGTGAAGATGCGGAAATCAAATTGTCTGCTGTATATGTTATACTATTCACTAGATGAACACCATAGCTTACAGAAATAAGCTCACCATTACCAGCGCTTACCTTCAAAGTCGTTGAGGAATGTATGACCGATCAAGTTTGTCATTTCAGATAAATTTGTCTTTTATACTCGCAATACGTTGTCTGATACAAGGAAAGCAAGATACGTGCTTACCAGATATATCTTATGGTGTTGTGGTTAGCAACAAAATGACTTTACTGTGTTAAGTATATGCAATGACACTTTGAGCTTTTTCGGGAAGGTGGGACCTAAGAAGGCAAGCTAGAACGAGTTTGAGGAGTAATTTTGTTTGTATGACAAGTATGTCTTCCTTATGAAACGTGCAAAAGGGAACAATCCAGTCTTTGTAAACCCACAAATGTCAATAAGGCATAGTTCTATTGCTGTTGTATATAGCTATAAACTGTGTGCTTGATTTGACGCGAGATTTGTTTTTGACCTACTATATTAACCAAAAATGTTTATGCCTGACCGTGAGGGGTAGGGTGGAGCGGGAGAGAAGAAAGAAGGGGATTAGAGGTAAATATAATTCATCTACTATCAATGCATACCCGCTTTTTTCTTCTGATAAGTTGACAAAGGAGAAAATGTGGTAAGCGGACAATGGTGGTACAAGAGAATATAATAGACTGTATAAGTATTTCTACTGAAAGAATGTTCGCGATAAGGGAGCTTCTATCCATAAATCATCGTATCAATTTTCATTTCTCGGGCGATCATCCGCTCATTACACCTGCTCTATAGTGGCAGCAGTACAGCCATAGAGAGAGACCAACAAGATGGGAAGCATCCCTTTCAACACTCTGTAACCACCGCTACTAACCTTAATATTGACAAGCACCCAAATCTGTCGACAATATAAACAAGGCCTTCATGTTAGCACCTCACCTTCTTAGCTAGACTGTTATTGCACACGCCATATCTACCAGCGATATCACGTTAGAACATTGTCATCAGGATCCTCTTTCTTCGGTCCTTGAAATGTCACGAACCCGCGTTTCTTTCTTGGCTCATGTCGGCGGGCGGACATTGATAAATTTTCTGCGTTGCATAAGACGACGCCCTGGCATGTGCATAATACATTGTTATTATTGTCTGTTCTCAGCTCGCCCGCGCCTGCTGTGCATAGCGGCGGCATTATGCGTCTGCAAATCTAACTACAGAGCTGTTTATTACTACAACAAAGTAATATAAAATGGACTCTATATAAATAAAGGGAAGGGGGGATTGTTTATGTTACTGGCTTGATGTACAAGAGAGAAAGAGGAGAGGGTGTGGGCGCTTGTTTGCTACTCTTACTATTACTACATACTACTGCTCAAAAGAACCTTTTTCTTCTATCTTTTGAGCTTATCAAGCGTATCATCATCGAGGAGCAGGGGCTAGGATTTATATGAACCATTATCCTTGGGGGTTGTCTCTTTTATTCATCCTCTCTTTATGATGTGTGTGTATTTGTGGAAATCAGTGATCGTGTGCTAGAATTCTGAGCTGTTTATGGAATAACAGACGAAAGAGGCATAGTTGATAAGCCTGTATCATGCGGGAGAAGAGAAAGAAATTTGGGGGGAGGAAGAGGAGACACAAGAGGAGGATGTACGACGCCGAGAGCCTTCATTTTTACTATTGCAGATCCTAGCCTTTTTATGATAGCCGCTTATTATGATTATTGTTTACAACCGCGTTCCTATCGGAAGCAAGCATGCTGTTTCTGCTAATATTACTATCGCTTATACTACTGTGCATATTGAGATATTTGTGATAAACGTAGCACACGCCATACGCACTCAGGCAAAAGGCGGTGAGGAAGAAAATAAGGTCTATTACCTCATTTACTCAGTAGAAGAAGAGAGCCCGGGATGCCGGAACGAGGATCCTGAATTACGCATTTTTTCACACTATAAAAAACTCGCCGAATCTGAGTTTTGCGACATTTTTCTTCTTTATTCTTCTCTCTACTGCCACTACTTTTTGTCATAATCTTTCTCCAAAAGAAACATGCCGTTAATGACAGCAGCAACAGCAGCAAAAGCAACAGCTACTACTACTACTACTACTACTACTTTTCAAGCGATACAACATCAAAAACAACAAACAAAAAAGCACCGGCATATCGAAAAACGGCACAGGTGCAATGTTTGTAACAAACTGTTCAGTCGACCTAGCGCGTTACAAACTCACATGTACACACACACTGGCGAAAAACCGTTTCAATGCCCAAGGTATGCTACTTCTTTAAACTGTTTCATGGTATCTTCTGTTGTTACTGACATGTTTATATGCAGCCCTGGATGTGGCAAGTGCTTTGCAGTGGTCAGTAACTTGCGTCGTCATTCCAAGGTCCATACAAGCTCTCCATCTCCACGACACCGGCTGTCTGCCCAAGTGCGACATCAATTCATAGAGCAAATGATGCTACGCTATCAAGAGAACCAACATCACCCACAAGACTGGTGCTCGTGTCATCAACAGCAATCGCCTGCCATTCATTAGCATTTGTTGTCGTGTTTTCTTCTTCTAGTACATACTTTTACCAAATACCACAAGTACAATGGCCCATATACCACCACCTGCACTGTTTTACTTCTTGTCGTTCGTTTTCATTATTTAAACTTCTCTTTATTTTTTTGTTATTAGCTATATTACTAGATTTTATTCTAGCTTGTATGTACGCAATCCCTTCCTCCTCATCCGTCCACTTTCATCTCATCACTGCTCTTTTTCCCTTTTTACATATTATGCATTGTCTGGAACACATATGCACCCGTCTTGTCTGCTTACTTTACATAATATATTATATGTTCTGCTGCCCACAGCTTTCCTGGTGCCGCTGCTACTATAAGTTAATGATGACTTTAGGAGATCCAAAGCGCTCTAAATATCTATGCTATCACCTTTAAGTGGCATCTACACGTGAGTTTTGACAGACTGTCAAGTTGATCTCTCTTGTGTCCTGATATGAAAAAGTGATTTAAAAGCGCTTTTACATGCTTTTGAATGCGTGTAAATGCCGTTCAAGATGCGTTTAAGATGTCGCACATGCATCCAAAGGCGCCCAATATGGGTCAAAGGTGTTTTACGCTATGGGATGTGTGCTGATAATGAAGCGACAAGCCCTTGGTTTCTTATTTCATTTTGTTTAAAGTCGCTATTTTTATTAGGTAGTAATGTAATTCAGATTTTTGTCCATAGAAAATCTCGACAACAACAGTGCCGACGACCGTAAGATTATGATGCCAGACTTTTCTTCTTTTCTCCGGCTTGCCCTTCCTTTGAGAGATCAAATGCCCTTCAAAATATTGCGCAGTCCGACTGCAACAGTACATAGTAATGATATATTAAGTGTCTACAGCGTATAGTGTAGTATATTAAATAAATTTTAAGCAGATTTATATACATGGACAGATCGGCAACAAATCTTTTGCAGATCTTGTTCTTCCTTTTACTTTCTCTTAATATATGTATGTAGCCACGCTTTAGGGGAGGAGGCGAGAAGATAAGGAGAGGAGGCGCCAAACCGATAAATAGACCATCGATTTATGCAGGAACAAATATAATGGATTGAGAAATCGTTGAAATAAGACAGGGCGAGATGCTGGTGTCATTTGTCGCATTAATCGACAACGTGAGAATAAATGGTGGTTGAACAAAGATATCCCGTATTGCTATTGCTTCTGCGGCACCACACCAAAATAATAGCTATGATATGACATAAAAAAGCACTCTCTTTGCTAACGACTGCTAATGATGATAAAGTATGTTTAAGTTACATAAGCAACATGGTTCTTAGAGGGTAAAATTTGCTCATCCGAATTTGTTGCCTGTTCTTTGTTTTCGAATCGCTCGCCATCTTGTCCCTGACATCTCTATCTTCTTTTACTCTCTCTGTGTATTCCGGCTGTCATGAAAAATCCCTCAACCGATGTGTGACAGGCCATCTTGGCAATGACACAAGATACAGTCTGATGCGACAAATGTTTCTATAGCAGCACGCGCGCTGATGTCACACAAGAAAGAATTCTATGTTTGTAGCCTAATATGTGAGTGACTTTTACTTGTGTATAAGACATCCAATCGACTTGTAGAAGTTGTCGAAGGGAGGAGAAGAAAAGAAAAAATAGTCACACTATTGATATAATGTACTTTTGCAGTACAACTGTCGCTGCTAGATAAGAGGAGATGTACAGATGTATTTAGTGAGTTAATGTTGTTGATCTTTTTCTCAACGTGAACTAGAGCAAAGAGGGGTGGGGGACCGCTTTCTTTTGCTGATGATGCTGATGTTGATGCCGTTGTATACGCCGAATGCCTTGAGCCGTAAAGTATGCTTGAACTTAAAATTTTATAGTACGAAACTGACGGTGAGACAGCAAAGAACGCAGCGTAAACATACTAGAGATTGTGCTTCCCGGAACCATTGATATTCCTGGGCGCATATTCCTGTGCTGCCGACGTATCACGTACTAGTGACAAACATTTTCTTTGCTGCGTGTCGATTATTCAAACGTGATGAGAAAGAAGGTGCTATAAATTTGTGCTTACCCACCTTCGGTCCTGCCCACGCTTCGGATCGTGTCAATGTTTGTGGGACTTTAGCTTGAGCGGCTCATTATAATAAGCAAACATATAATAGAATATATATATATATATATATATATATATATACAAAGTAGTGATAGTAAGTAGTATACTGGTACTTTGTAAATATCAAAAGACTCAGTTACTTATATCAATTTCTTGTTCGTATTATGCAACACACCATAGCAGGAGAGTTAAAAAAGCCATGCCTCTATGTACTATGCCTATCGATTTGTACACCTTGTTGGGTAAAGCGCAGCCGCATACTTCGGAAAGGAGACAGCGGGACGGTGCCAATGCGCCTGACCTAAAAAAAGGAGATTGCTGCCTGTGGCTGTAGTCGCGGTCGCAGCGACGACGACAAAGGCAACGGATAAATCGTTCAAAAGGTAGCGGTGGATGATATGTATAGTAATCAGATAAGCGCTCTGCCTGGTGCACTATGCTGTTAATTCAAGTTTATGCTCCTTCTCATTCATGCACCACTCTAATAGCGTAGTGGTGGTGTAGCCTTTTCAAATCCAAGTCCTTTTGTATAGAACATCGTCGTGATATCCATTCAGTCAACAAAGAGCATCCAATAGACTGGCTGCGCCTCTCTTTGCCAACAATGACTGTTGTGTAGTCCATGCATCTCATCCCTACTTGTTATTACCATAGTAAAATTTGTTGTATCTCATATCAATTACATACTATCATACACACCTTCATCTGCATCATAATGTACATGGGGCGGGTATTCAAGGGCGATGAGTCAATTACTACTGACAGCAATGTAGTATGGCGTTGCTAGTTAATCTCTTTGTTGTTGCTGTTGGTATATGTCTGTAAACAAAGGAATATATAAGACACCCATTTCGTCACAGCGCTTTCCTAATCCGTTCAACCTTTTTTTTTTTTCGGGCTGTGATAAACCTTTTCCCACAAAGTTCGCATGAATTTAATTTAGCTGACGTAATTCACCACCTCCTATCGACAGCAAACAGTAGCAACACCGGTCAATATCAGATACCTGTACAGTATGGCCTCTTTAATATTAGAAATAATGGGTTTTTGTGGACAATATCTCGAATGTACCTTCTCCTGTCGTCATATTAGCACTTTTTGGGAAGGGGTGATGATCACAACAAAATAAAAAAAAAAGAAAATTCACATACCACCTACAATGAAGTATACCCCAGGAAAATCATACAGTCAGCGATTTGTTCAACGAGATGGGCGTCGATGGTATTAGCACGAATGGCTACGCAATCAAATTTTCTTATTTTATGCAGCGTATGTGTGGACCATGTGATACATTGCAGTTTTTGTAACCAAAAAAAGAAAAGAAAAGAGCGGGAAGCAGGGTGCAGCTTACACCATTACGTCGTCCTTTGTCGATGGCAAAGCAAGATGGATCTATAGTAGCATCTGTCACTGCTCTACTAGCACACAGGCTTGAAAGGGCAGGTAAACGATCGTCATAGTTTCCACCACATGCCGTTGCTATATATGAGTTTACAAGTCTACCTCGTCTGTCAGCTGAAGCCTAGCTGTAATTCGTTCGTTGGCTCTTACCTTTCGAGAAATAGCATCCAGATGAAGAAATCAGGGGAATCCCGTGGCTCAAGAAAAGAGAGGAAGGAAGAGGACACGCATGAAACGGCCATCTATCTTCGTCGCTGACCACCTTTCGATTTCCGCACTGCAGGAAAAGAAGAGCTCCAAAGGCAAGCTGCCAGCAAAATATAAAATAAAGACGTAATGATGCTTTTTCGTTAGTGTCAGTGGAGAGACGCACGTACCCCTGGGGTACGCACTCTATCGGATGTGATAAACAAGGTGCTGCTGCTGCTGCTGCTGCTGCTGTAAATGCAGCATGTGGGGAAGAAGGTGTGCGCTGGAGAAGCAGGAAACTCATCCAAAAGCAATGGATATGCCGCGTGCTACAGGTACCCGAGACAAAAGAAGAAAGATGACGATGGTGCCATGTTACAGCACGGGCCATATTTCTTGCTTAAAACCGGTTTTGCTACTACCTGGTGTCATGTGCCCTGTTCTGTTCTGCTCTGTTCTGCTCAAGTGATGGTTGCTGCTTATGCTCGATGCCTTGCTTCTTGGGTAACTGCATAACTCCGTCTTTTTAAATTACATATCTCTTCTTCCTCTCTACTTGCTTTCTTTTACTCCTTTTCTCCATTTCACACACACTCTCGCCCTAGCACAGCATCGCAGCACGACACAGCACAGAACATACACACACACACACACACACACACATACACTCACAGCACATAGCAGCGACAATAGCAGCAGCAACAGCAACAACAAGAGAAAATGACACAAAGGAAACTGCGCAACCCAACACCTTATCATCTGCTTGCTACGCAACAGCAAGACCAGCAGCAGTGGCATCAAGATGACTTTTCCCTCGAGGATGATGCCTATCTATCGCCACTACACGACTTTGATGACCTGGACTACAGCAGCAGCAAGCAGTCTCCACCGGCATCGCAGCCTACACTAACCCATCAGCAGCAACCACATCAGCACCAGCACCAGCACCAGCACCAACAGCAAGGCCCCCCGCCTCCGCTAGAGTACCAGCACGGTCTCTTATCGAATAACGAAGAATCTCCCTCCGAGTACTCGTTTGCGTCCTCATCACCATCGCGGCGATGGCCTCCTTTTCCCATGTCCGCCCCGGCCGAGATCGGGTTCAACGAATTTTACTCTACCTCTTCAGGTCATATGAACCCGGGTGCCTTGGCATTACAGCCGCAGCCGCCACAGCACGGGAGTTTGCAGGATGATTATGCGGTTCAAATGAAGTAAGGAGCTGCTCCAATTCCTTTAGGATTCTGAGTGCGTTTCTAGCCCCGGTCGAATAACTCTCTTTTGTATTGTTTGTTATTCTGCAACAATTTGAAAATAGTCTGCAAATGATGATGGAGAAGAAGCGGCGCAGACGCGAGTCGCACAACGCTGGTAAAGTACTTTTAACCAGTGATCAGCTGATGGCACTGTTATTGTTATTGTTATTGTTGTTGTGTAAAAAGAATAGAGAAGATGTGGGGAACTCTTATGATGAACCAGCAACAATGCCATGCCCCTTTTGTGATATACTAACAACACACAACGATGCTATCGTGTAGTGGAGAGACGACGACGGGAGAACATTAACGAGCGGATTCAGGAACTGGGTACTCTGTTACCGGAGCCCATGCTGGACGAATGCAGCAGCAACAGCGCAGGTGGTACTGGGAACAAGCCAAACAAAGGCCATATTCTGCGCAAATCTGTCGACCATATTAAATTGCTGCAGCATGACGTTACCACCTACCAGCAGCGCGTCAGGGAATTGGAATCCGTTTTGGCCAAATATCAGCACCACGCATGAACCACTTGTTCATTTACCATCCTCCTCCTCCCTTACTTCCGCCGTTTGTTTTCTTTCGAAAGTAGTTTGTTGTATCATACATATTCCAGTACATAACACATCTTCATTGCCATTCCTCCGTTACATACCCTATATTAAACTCTGTATATTTGTGATTCTCGGTTTCATTTTTGGACACTGAATAAGAAAAAGCGGTGATGGTGACAGTGACGTGTAACTGGATAGAGGGAAATTAGTCTACAAGGAGGAGAGAAAAGACAAAGGGAAGGTGACAAAAGAAAGAACATAGATGGCGGTTGTTGTTTTTTTTAACCATGCGGGTACGAGTGGCGTCGTGTGTATGTAATTGCGGACGAGGAAGAAGGGAAAAGGAAGGGGGTGAGGGGACTCGGTATTCTAATACAATTTCAGTTGCTTTACAGCTTGGCTTCAGCTGCAACCTCGGACGACAAGAGTTCGCCGAGCTCATTGGCGGCATCTTCGAGACACTGCTTAAAGTGGTGCGTGCCGTTAACATACTGCTTGCCGTGCACCTCCAGATCCTTGACGCTGGCAACATTGAATTGCAAGGCATTCTTCTTGATCATGTAAGCAACGCCAAAGCCGTCATTGACCACCTGGCCCCAGCCATAACCGTCAAAGTGTTCCGACGACAACTGGGAGGTCGAGAGGTACCAGTGCTGCGAGTAGGCGTAGTTGGGATCGGTGAACAGAGCAGGGCTCTCCTCACCGGGCTGCAAGGTCTTCTTCAAACCAAACAAGTGGCGATCGGCACCATGGGCACTGACACAGTCGGCCATGTAAGCGCCCTGGGCCTTGATAGCGGCACGGAAGGCAGCAATCTTGTCTTCACGCGAGACAGTGACATCCTCCATGGCTTTGCAGAAGGCAGTCGACTCCTCAGTGACGGAGCGAGCCGTCTCAGTGCGGCCACGCTGGAACTTGCGGGTCTGGGCAGACTCGTAGGTGGGGCGGGACTTGCCAAACATCTTATAGTAGGCCAATTGAATGACCATTTGCGTATAACCGTCGGGCGACGACTTGAACTTTTTAATCTGGTTCTTGCCGTAGCCCTGGTAGGCCAACACGGTCAGGTCGTGCTTGCCGATGAGGGCATCAAAGTCTTGCTCGGCAGATTGGATGGACTGCTTGACTTTGTCGTCGAGCTTGAATTCGAGCTGGGAAGGTGCGGGCAGAGACGAGCGGACATCGGCGGAGCCGTGGTCGACGAGGTTGCGGGTCAAGCTGTCGGTAACGTACTCATTCAGGCGGCAGGTGGCAGTGCCGTCCATGCAAGAGTGCTCGCCGTTGAAGCCAGCCTTGCCGTTGTCAAAGACGATGAACTGGAGCGGCTTGTCGAAGAAGCGGTTGCGGCCGTCGCCATGCCAGCAGGCACGGGAACCCTCGTCACGGGTCACGGGTGTGGAGTCATCCAAACAGACGACAAACGAGGAGGACTCGATCTGCTCCAATAGCTGCTTGTTTTCGGGGTTGGCAGCCAACAATGCCTCGCGATACTAGAAACAAAAGGGCGTGTGTAATTTGATGTGGGTGTTGGTGCCTGTGTTTCAGATTTTCCCATGATACGAAAAAGAAATGTGGGGTATAATTCCGGATAACCCCGCTATCATTTGTGTGTGTGGAAAAAGAAAAGCCTTACATCAGTCCACTTGTCACGGTTCTCGGTGGTCAGAGCACCCACTGCGGGGCCCTGCTCGTTGCCGGCATTGTCAATGACCCGCTGGAACTGCTGCTCCAGCTCCTTGGTCGACAGCTGCTGGCCATTGTGGATGGTGTCGATGACGTAGAATTTGTTCTTGCGGATAGCGACAATGTGCGAGTGCTGGGCAGAGTCGTAAGCCACCTCGATGTCCGACGGCTTCTGGGGAATGCGACAGTTGTTGAACATGTACTTGTACGAGTCCATGCACATGGGCTCACCCTTGGCATACTCGGGCTCCAAGGTCTTCCTATTTTTCCCGTTGTCCCATTATGCATTTAGTGCACTGTTGTATAACTTTGCTGCTGTGATATACCTCATCCTCACACACACACACACACACACACACACTCTCTCTCTCTCTCTCTCTCTGTCCGAATCAACCATCCGAGACAGTGCGTCATGTGTTGTAGTAGGCCAACTTACTCGACAACCTGCTTCTTGAACTCGAGAGCAGCAGTGGTGATAGCAGCGGCACGTTGAGCAGGCAGCTTGCGGAGCTTGTCATCCTTGTAGTAGAAAAAGTAGCTGACGTAGATCACGACGGGATCGCGATAGCCCATGTAAGCAGCTTCCAACCACCAGTCTTCCAACCAATTCACAACCGCAGGGTTGCTTGCGTGCTTGACCAATCGCTCCTGGAGCTTGGCGCCGACACCGCTGGTCTGGAACTCCTGCACAGCAGCTTCGGTGCGCTTGTATTCTTCCTCACTCACCAAGGGCTTGACTGATTTCAGGTACTTTTGCATCGTAGCACCCAGGGCAGGCACAGGTAGTTTAGGCAGGTTGTTTTGGTACCGAAGCATGGGGGGTGCGCTCGTGTCCAAGGGAGTCTTGGGCAAAGGTGCTGCCGAGGCCAATCCACGACGGAGAGGCATAGCCGTCTAATATCAAAGTCTCTGTCAATCATTTAAAGTGTTCAATCCCAGAAGTGTGTACCAGAGATCGTTGGTTGCATTCATTGTGGCGATCCACTTACAGGGCGGGGAGCAGTAGCGGCAGTGAATCTTGCAACGTTTCGGAGACCAAGAGCACGGAGAGCCATCGTTGGACTATTTGTGTTTTGTTAGGAAAAGAGAGAAAGAAAGGGGAGAGAGGTTGACAAGTGAAAGAAAGAAGAGAGAGGATGAAACATGCACACCGAGAGTTTAATAAGCGAAATTCGGCCGTCGGTTAAAATTCAGCTCAGATTATTGCTGACACACGGTAGAAGCTTGTGTGTGTTTATGAGGGACCATGTGTGTAACCATTGATCCTTAGTCATGCTCTCTGTATTCCAACCAGCCCCTATTTGAGACAAGTCTGCCCGGGAAGAGCTTTTCCAATGTTAGCGCAGGTTACTTACTAGAAGAGTGATTTTGGCGTTTATGCATGACATCAGTCCTTTATTTGGCTATTATTGCCAAGGTAAAGCACGTTGAGTGGCAGATACTCCTCCTCCGCCCAACACCTTCACGTGTATGCATCAGACAACCTTAGGATCAGCAAGCAGCAACAAGAGAAAAAGAGTCAACAAAGTAAAGGTATAAAGATTGTCTAACGCCAGAAGAAAAAAAAAAGAGAAAAAAGAAAAAAGGTATATGGTTGGACGTTTTGCAAGTGAGGGGAGGGAGAAAGGAGAGGGGAAGAAGAAGAAGTAGTTTGGAGCGCGAGAAGTAAAGACTATACAGAGAGAGAGAGAGAAAGAGAGGGAAGAGAGACAGAGAGACAGAGACAGGGAAATTATACAGCACCATGCGCATGCACACACGCAGTTTTTAAAAGAAGTATATAAAAGACATGAAGAAAGAAAGAGAAATAAACAGAGGAGAGAGGCAGCTTATCGGCATTGCCAGATCTTGAGAGTTTGATCCACACTGCCTGTGGCAACGACAGGGCTGATTTGGCAGTACCTAGTAGTAGATTCAATCCGATTAGCACAGCACTCAGAACAAAAGACACTCAACGAAGGAGGGCCAAAAGGAAAACCTACGATATGCAAGTGACAAAGTGGTCATGGGCCTCCAACGTCTTCATGCAGCGGCCTGTTTTCAGGTCCCAAATCTTGATCGTCTTGTCATCGGATGCACTCAGCAAGTACTTGCCGCTGGGATGCACGACCAGTCCACGGACCCAGTTGTCATGTCCAATAAACGTATGCAGCATCTGTCCACTGCTGTCCCACACCTTTATCGTCTTGTCTCTTGACCCGGTGATCACATAGCGTCCGGGTGTGCTTTGATCCTTCGACTTGGTCTGCACACACACACATAGCAAACAGTACTCCATTTAGCAAAGCCACTCGAAAGACCAATCCACCCCCCATTATTCTATTCTATCGAGCTTTTACCTCGTCGCCAATCAGCTCCTGGATGTAGGGATAGGCGTTGTTCGGTACAAAGATGGCACACTCTACAACATGCTCATGGCCACGGAGCTCGATTTTTGATTCGCCCGTCTGCGTATCCCACAATCGTGCTGTCTAAATTTTCATGCAAACAAAGAGCTATCAGCATTCACAGGAATACGATGACAGCAGCAGCAGCCATTGGCTCCTTCTTACCTGATCATTCGATGCAGTGACAAGTAACCGTCCGTCTTCGCTTGGAAGTACTGATCTAACCCATTCAAGATGCCCCGTGTATGTCTTTGTGCAGTAGCCCGAAGCAAACTCCCAGATCTTGATTGTCTTGTCTCGCGAGGACGAAACGATCTTGTCGCCCGAGGGCAAGAACGCTACCGACGACACGCTGTGGTCATGGCCGTAAAGCGTCTTTATACACTTGTAGTCGTTGTTCACGTCCCACACCTTGATCGTAAGATCGGCAGAGCACGATACGAGATAGTTGCCCTTGGGATCAAAGGCAAGGTCCTGCACGGCCTTGGTATGGCCCTTGAGGGTGCATTCGAAATCTCCGGATTCGTAGTCCCAGATTTTGATCGTCGTATCTTCAGAGGCTGATGCCAAGATTTGATAGACTGGGTGGAATTCGACACGCGTGATGGGACTGCGATGGCCCGTCAGATCGTGCTTCTCTGGTGGCCGAGGGATCCAATCGACAGAGCTCGTTTGCTTGCGTACAGGCGCATTGTTGAGTTCTTCTTGCATTTGGTTGGCCTTGCTCTCTAGATCCATAATCTATGTGTGTCCATGTGTGTGTGTGTGTGTATACAAAAGTCTATCAGTTTCTCTCTGCTTCTAAATGTATCGATCAAGGCTTTATAGAGCTTTTTGCTAGAAGGGGAAATAAAACAAAGTACCTTCTTTTGCAGTCGAATGACAGACGTCCATTTCTTTTCAAGCAGGCCGGCGTACTTTGTCTTTGGATCGGGAATAAACTCGTCGTTCTGAGTCTCGCTTTTCAGTGCAACAAATGATTCGGAAAATCCGCTGGCGTTTAGATAGTCGAGGATGGCCTTGTGCCTAAGACATGGAGTTTTTTGACATAACAAAAGGTAAGCAAAGGTTATATTAGAAATGACTGATAGGATCTTGTTTTGTTTGTTTGGAGATAGAAAGAAAACCATGCCAAGCTATCGACGACAACCGTCTTGGTTGTTTGCCACCCCATACTTGTTTTACACACGCACACGCACACACACACACAGAGAGAGAGAAAAAGTAGCTCCCCAAAAACCGCTGGGTTTTCTTGAACCGCCACCCCCCCAAACTCCTTGTTCAATGTATGATTTCTCAAGAGGAAAATGAATACTTACAGCTCATCCCTCTGACGTTCAGACAGGATGGTGTTCATTTCTTGGAAAAAGATGCACGAATTATGTGGTGTAAGTCAGATTAGAAAAAAAAAAGAGAGAGAGTGTGTGTGTGTGTGCCGCGAGATTCTTTCAAGAGCGGGGGAGGAAAAAAAAAAAAAAGAGAGAGAGAGAGAGAGAAAGAAAAAAAAGCGGCTCCGGAGGCTATGGTTGCACCTAACAGTGGGAGGCACAGAAAGAAAGAAAGAGAGAGAGAGAGAGAGAGAGAGAGAGAGAGAGAGAGAGAGAGAGGGGTTCGGATAGCGGATGATGGCGGCGGATGCGTTATGTGCCTGTTTTTGCTCTAACAGCTCAAGCGGTGATTGAATGGCTTTTTTTGTTCGTCCAATGACAGTTGACTTGTCGAAGGTAAAAGCATACAGCAGAAAGAAGAAAGTAGCACATGACTATTGAGCATTGTAACAAGGCAAGGGAACTGTTTATTGATACTTGTATGCGCTCATTCAAGCGATAACATTCTGACAGTGCGAAAGGAGGACACAGTAAACGGCGTGTTGTTGTCACCGATCCACACTATTCAGGTCAGGTTGGTGGTGCTGCCGACAGGTGTCAGAGAGCCAGGGCGCTCATGTGTGGTTCTTCTGGCTCTATTGGAACGCTTGGAGATCGTCGTAGGATAGGAAAAGGTGAGCCGAGCATGCCTTACCTTGGGTAATACCCACCAAAAGAAAAAAGTCTCAGTGACATCTGCTCCATCTGGTCTAACACAAGCAGACATCTACCAGAGCCACTCTCGAAAAAAGGATCCATTACATACTTGGAACGAGAAAGAGTACATGCACATGCAAATCACATAAATACACACAAGCAGTCCTTCTCGTTGGCTAGCACATTGACAGCTTGAAACCGAATCTGTGGATATAATGAACGAGCACACGGTATGGTCTTATAACACGTATCTGTTATATCCTCCTCCTCACCACGTAAGGGCAATCCGATCAAGTATGGCATTGCATAGTCCACAACGCACTGATCGATTGCACGGCCTTACCTTTTGCACACAGCACAGAAGCTTGTGATGCCCCACAAGTCGAGGCATAACTCGTGGTGTAGACATATTACGTAAATACACCATATCGATGCTTTTCTTTGGAAACTGAAGGTCAAGATCAAAGAACGTTGATGTGGTTGCGGGCTGTCAGGCAAGACTAAGCAGTGCGCTGCCCTGACTTTATTAATGCTATAAGGAAGCATCTGAGCGCCAAAAGTACTTTACATGCATCATCAACGCATGTCATGTCAACAAACATGCACCCTCTCTTTCATTTTTAGAAGCAGCCGCAGCACTCGCATACGCTTCTGTAACTTGGCTCGCATGTCGTGTGTCACAAGTAATGTGCCATGGAATAGGTGGGCACGGGAAGCCTTGCATCACAAGAGCAAGGGAGAGTACGGTTGGTTGTTTGGCGAATATACTTCTCTGGTCAGACATACATTGCCATTCTTGTGTATAGGTGTGTAAGCAAACAATGTGTTTGAGTGCCTTTGTCTTCCATCCATTCTCTTCTTTGATCTTCCTGAATGCATATCAATGAAAAAAAAAAGATAGTTCTATTCTGAGGACATCTATATTTTGAAGATGGATGCTACGAAAATACATAGTGTTGCCTAGTCTCGGCATCCACTGAAGTAGGGTGTGCGCGCACAAGGCTCCAAAAAAAGAAAGAGAAACCTAAGGTCAATATATTTTTTATACAGTTTGTAATAAGGGAAAAAGAAAGAAAAAGAGGATAGAAACAAAGTATAATAAAAAGGGGACGAGTCTTCGTTTTTAGGGATTGCGTTGGTGTGGAAGAGAGAGAGAGAGACAGAATATGTGTTTTGGAAGAAAAGAAATAGTGAAAATAAAAGGGAAATATAAGGGGGGGGGGATTCTTCTGATCTTTAGGGCTTCTGTTATTACTAAGATTACCACGCTGGCTGCTGCTGCTGGTTGTTTCCATTTACTACCCAATCGGCGATATAGGGGAACGACTGGAACTCTTGTTGCTCGACGCGGTTAAGGTTGGAGCTGATAGGCGTCAGAGCAGGACGTTCGCGCGTAAATTCTTCGTCAAAGTTAGATGTGTCGAGACGGCTGGTGATGGTAGGGTAGAAAGGTGGAGGCACACGCTTGTTGAGCATGTCTTCCCAGTTGACGCCACGGAAGAAAGGATGCTCCTTGATTTCAACGGCGTCGGATCGACCTGCACCAAGACGTCTTGCCGGGTCTCGGGTCAGAAGCTATAACACAGGCTGTGAGTTTCCTAGGCTACAATAGCATGCACACATTGGACATAAACTTACGCGCTGACAGATTGAAACAGAGTCTCTAGACATGTTGATCGGGTACAGAATTTCGTCTTCCAAGATGGCATCAAAGATTTCATCTTCGTCTTCACCACGGAAGGGCGACTGGCCAAGTAACATTTCATAGATCAACACACCAAAGGCCCACCAGTCCACCGCACGTCCATACTTTTGCTCGAGCAAGATTTCAGGCGCCATGAATTCGGGCGTGCCACAGAACGTACCGGTGGTGCAGCCAAACCACATGTTTTCCTTACAAAGACCATAATCGGCAATCTTAATGTGGCCGTCCAGGCCAAGCAAAATGTTATCCAGCTTCAAATCACGGTAGATGATACCCTGGCTATGGAAATATTCGAGCGCCAAAAGTACTTCGCATGCATAGAATCTATCATCGCAAAACACAAATTAGCAACCATGTTCTTTCACCTTTCTTCGTTTTGGCATGTCAAATGCCATTATTACCACTCGCTGCATGCTTATTAACAACGCAGCAAACAACCAACCCCTTCTCTCTCTCTCTCTACTTACTTGGCACGTCGTTCCGAGAAAGGCTCACGTTGAATATGCCACATCAAATCACCACCGCTAACGTATTCCATGACAAAGTACACACGCGATTCGGTTTGGAAACACGAGTGCAAACCAATAAGGAAGGGATGTCGCTCACGGTTGGCTGCTTGGAAAATGCGCTTCTCCGACCGGACACTGATATTTCAATACATCAACATGGCGTTTTAGATGCACACTTGTTCCTAATCCGATGGGTGTGACGTTTTACCTTTCAATTTCATCGTTATCCATAATGAATCGCTTCTTCAAAACCTTAATGGCATACAAGTTTCTGTCGTGCTTTTCTTCAGCCAGCATGACCTAAACGATTAAAAAGTGTTTTGAGCTCGCATGATCCTTTTCCTTTGTGACATGCGTGCATATCACCATCAACAGTTCATATTCTTACCTTGCCAAAGTTACCCTTGCCAAGCACTGCCAAAAAGTTAAAGTCATCCAGACCCACATTCTTAGCCACGGGTTGTGCTTGTTTAGGTGGCGGCTATTATAATCAGAGTACGTTAAGTTCCGTGATCGATTCATTGTGTAGGATGAACACTTACTCTAGGAGCCATATCTGTCGGGTAGGGGTGATAAGGCTGCTGCATCGGCGGTTGGGGATGGGGAGGATGTGGACCAGGAACACCCTGTGGAGGATAAGGTGGGCGTCCCATAACGGCAGGATTGGGTATCGGGGCATACGGCGATTGGGGCTGCTGTGGCATGGCCGGTCTGGGCTGTAGTGGGTAAGGTTGTTGTTGTGGTGGCTGTTGTTGCTGGAACCTGGGATCGCCAGGGTACTGTGAGTAAGGTGGCTGCTGGTGTTGTTGTCCAGGGGATCCGCCTCCCATCATGTGGGGTGGACCCGGTGGTGGCATGTTAACACGACCAGGGCTCATGCTACCAGGTGATTGAGGATGAGGTCGGTTCATGGATGGGCTTGTGGGAGGAGGCATATGCTGTTGTTGCTGTGGTTGCTGAGGCTGGGGTGGCGGTGGTTGCTGTTGCTGTTGCTGCAACGACAAATGAGAGAATTGTGACGAAATTGTTTCGGAAGCAGTGGATGGCATAGATCCAGAGCTCGAACGGTCAGGTACCGAAATCTGATCGTCAGGACGAGGCGTCTGCTGAGGCTTCAACGAACTGGACGACGAGCTAGTCGGACCCGTCTCGAGCGTCTTGCGCTTAGCAGCCTTCATCTCGGCCAGCATTTGATTGGCCAGCTCCATGGACAAACCACAGAAATCAGGCACAAGATGAGCACACTTGGTGTGGCAGGTAATGTCACACTCTGGAAGAAATGTACGTATACTTTAGTTCTCCTTCTACTCGGCACTATGCTGTGTTAATTGTTGACAAAAGAAAAAAAGGAAAACAAGCGCTTACCAGAGCATTTCTTTGCACCACGCGAGCCAAGAGGCAACATGTAACCACAGTGACAGCACCAGTTGGCACCGATATTTGTGATCGGCTCGAAACGATGGGGAATCCGGTGGTTGATCTTGTCCTCGTCCGAGTCCTATTGAAAAATCATGACATGATGAGAAATTGTTCCTATGAGTCTTTATCACCCTTCTTTTCTCTTTTCCACCATCACCACTTACCAAATCCGAGGACGACTTGGAGATACACTTGGTGACAACCTTGCCATAACATTTCTTGTGGCAAGTGTACTCACAGTCTAGGTAACGAGAAAGTCAGCATTTTTTATGCTTCTAGAACTGTTGTTTTTCCCCATAACTAGGATCAACTTTACCTTCACACTGATAGCCACTGTTGACCAAGAAATCGGCGCAAAGAGCGCACTTCATGACGTTGTAGAACTTCTTTTCCACAAATTGATGGCCGTTCATCTCGTGAACTTCACCAGCACGCTGACGGACAGCACCCACACGACCCAGCTTATCGAGCGGACGACGGCCAGCAGTCTCACGAACTATGATTTACAGTTAGATCACTCTTTTCCAAAGGGGCTTTTAGTATAGACAAGTAGATATCCTTACCAAAGTTGAGACGAAGTGCTAATTCACCCAAAGGTTCGACATCAAACCAAGCTTCAATACCCTCCTGTGTTGCCTGAACAGCCATGGGCTGGGTGGGAATAGGCTGGTGACTACCACCAAGAGTACTGCTACCACTGCTTTGGAGACTGTCCTGAGTACGTTGCTGAGCCACCTCAGCAGAAACCCATCCAGAGCCACTTTCCTGTTGGATCTTGCGCTTGCGAAGACCGTCGGCAATATCGGTGATCTTGAGCCAAAGGATACCAATTGGCAATCGTCGTTCAAGACTCTCGTCATAAATGTCAATCTCTATTTCGGACGCCTTTGTCACATGGATCTCGCATTCCTCGAGCCACTTGTCGTTGCGCGTTGGGCGCGAACGGAAGACGACGTTGCCATCAATCTTGATATACACGACCGTTTCCGGCATTCTAATCATACGCGTAGGTGCATGAGCCAGCTCACGAGCTTCGATGATTTGAAGCTGCAGTTTTCCACTGACAGGACGTCGGAATCCGGGTGGTACACGGGCAGAAAGAGGCGTCTCGAGTTCTATAATTTTTGTTGTTGTGTCACAGTTATTTGCTTAGCAATCAGCCTTCTTTTTGTTGCCGCCGATGGAAGAAAGGTAATAAGATATGCATTTGGAAGCTTTTTACCGTAATCGTCTTCGTCTCCTTCACCAATGTAGAGACCTTTGTACTTTTTGAGTGCCTTGTCGAGCAAATTACGCTTTTCAATACTTTCATACAACTGGCCTTGCACTTCACCACGTTGCCGCCGGTCGCCAGCCGAGGGATCACGTTCCAATGCAGCCGCCATGGTTTTAATACCGGTCAACACCTTCTTTTCGACATCCAACTTGTATTCCAGCTCATGCAACTTTAAAGACACCTTGGGCTTATTGTAAGGAATATCGGTTGTCAAGAGATCTAGCCATATGTGTTATTGCATTGTCCATAATTGCCATTCTGTAACAAACGCCAGCGTCGTATAACAACGGACTTGTTGGGAGTTTCCCTCCCCTTTCCTGTGATATAAGCTTACCTAAATTTGTGTACTTCTTCTTTGAAGATTCCTCTTTGCTGGATGGCATACTGCTCGAGCGAGGAGGAGCAGACATTGAAGGCGACTGTGCAGGGCTATCATTATCGGCTGCGGAGGCATTGGGAGTAGTAGGAGACGCAAGATCGTCCGAGCTAGTCCGGTGGGTTCTCGTCTGCAACTTGTGCAGCTCTTCTGAAAAGTAGTCCACGTACTTTTGATGCTCCTTGATTTGCGTTTCGCATTGTGCTCTGCCGTTTCGGTCCACCAATAGCTCTCGCATTTGGATGGCCTTGTCGCGCAACTGCTTGTTCTTGTCAATCTTTGCTTGAAGCTCGCGAATTTTTGCTTCTTGATCCTATATGCCATATTTTTTTGTTATTGGGTGTGTGGTTGACGTTGGTAAAGAGAGAGAGAAGGAAGAACAGGGAGATTGTGTACGTCACAATTTAAAAGGTAGAAAGTCAGTACAAAAAGTATCTTTTGTGTCTTTTTCTTTGAACGAGTCATTACCATGGTTTTATATTGTTGTTGTGCAAAATGTTCCTCGAGAAATGAAGAGATTTGTCGTGTATATCAAATGACGGAGGAGAAGGTGATGGTGGTGAAGGAGAAGTTGGCGAGGAGAGAGAGAGATAGGGCGCAACTCAAAAAAGAAAGTTTATATTATAAAGAAAAAGCTGATGAGAAATGTGCGCGTTATGTATCAAAGGTACATGTACACGCTTTCTTCGGTTAGAAAACAGTCGAGCGAACATTGGACAGTAGCGAGATGATGGAGACAACGTGGAGTGCGCCTGCAATGTCAAGATGACAAAACGCAAACTTACCTTTTTGTCGCTAATGAGGAATAATAGAAGGGTGTTTGGTGAAGGGGGGGTGCTTCTCTGCTTTTGGCTCCCGTAACGGTTATATCCGACAAAGCAGAAATAAGAGAGAGAGAGAAAAAAAAACAACAGAAAAGAGAAGAGTGAAGAAATAAAAGAAAAAAGTCCCTTTGTACGAGGTTCGAGAAAGCCGATGCGAAGCAAAAAAGAGAAGACTCTGTCTTGGTGGGGTGGGGCCGAACAAGCAGGCAGGCAACTTCGAGACTTTTTGAAATCCCGCTTGGATTTTTTTTTTTTAGAGAGGCGTTGTCTGTGCCAAGGCAACCGGATCTTCCTGTCCATCCCCCAAAAGGGACCTCCTCATGGCAAACGTGAAGAAATAGGCTCGGCATTAGGCACAAACCGGTTACTCGGATTCAGAGTGAGCAAGTTGTCTCATATCGATAACCTCTTGTTCCAGAGCACCGATAGACATAGTCTTCATTCACAATGCTGTGTTTTTCAAACGTGAAGAATGAAGATAGACGAAGAGAGTTTCTATCGTTACTAAAGTACACAAACAGTTTTACATAATGAAGACCCCTTCCTTCCCTTTGAAAATGAGACGGGCCTACCACCAAGAACAGCAGTTGTTAAAGGCTCTTGTTCGTCTTCAATGTTTTATACGCTGGCAGTTGATGCACGCTGTATCTCTTGATAATCTAGCAGCCAACGAGATATCACAACTGATTACACGATATCTAATCCGCTTAGGTAGCCATCGTTACAGTGTACGCACACAAAGACAAATGGTAGAATAAGAGGTAGGTGGACAACACCGATCAAATAGACATCATCCGCATTGTTGTCTATAATAGATAATCCCTTATACTCAATTACCTTTGGCCTCAGCTCAACATTTCAAAAAACTAACTAAAACAAGCAAACAAACAAACAAACAAACAAACGAAATGTGTCAGAAATGCGTACCTGGGAGGTTGGGGGGTGGGGGATTAGTTGTTGTCGTCGTTGTTGCTGCTGCTGACTGTGTAAAACATGTTTGACAAGTTGGTTTGACTACTATCATTCTCGTATAAAACATTGCTTCTCTCGCTTGTGCTTACCATCCTTTCTTATTACGAGTTAGTGGAATGACATGTTATACTGCTTAACATCGGCGATGACGCTCATACGTATACGTATACACGTAGCAACCAGTGGTAGCCTGACGCATTGCGTTCGCTGGGGCTGCCTGCGATCCGAGATTCTTGTGCAACGTCAACATGTGCGGAGCCGCTTCTAGTGCCGTTGGAGGTATTACCATCCACAAACTCAGCTTACATTTACCACGATATGTTAGGTTTAATGTAATACACAATAAAACCAAGACGAGCAGAAGAAGCTCTTTTTTTTTGGGGGGGGGGGAGGAGGAGGGTGTAGATATGTTGTGCAGGGCAGAGGAAAACAGATTCCCCTTTTCTTTTATTAGCAAAATGTATCTTCAATAACAGGAAATCTCACTCTTTCCACGATAATAGTGTGTCCTTAGTCTTTTCGTATACAAAGAACGTCAACGAAATAGCAGGTGCAACCTTGACTAGAGATACTGTCAGTCCTTTGTATAGACTGCTTACACCTTCTTGTTCCGCAATCGACGTCATGCATTTGAACCAGGAGCGAGTAGCGTATTCCGGTATAGAGTCAATGACATAGTGCTTTCGAGAAGGGCCTTGCACTTGTAGTCGCTTTCGCACAACGTCCATTGGGTAAACGGCTGTTTTCGACAGGACACCCGATAATGCACCGCTCAGCATGTCATGAATAGGCTTATAGTCTGCTGATAGTGTGCCATTTTCCTATATACAGTTCCAACAAGTTAGACTATCTATAATTCGTGCCACAACGGTTCATCCTACATGTTGACTACTACAACTTACTCTTGCAGCTTTAAATGCGGATGCTATGTGATCATAACTGGCAAAGACAAGGCCCATGTATGGCATGATCTGTATCACGGCTGGCCATACTCCCCAATAAAAACCAGCAACCCCCTCGGTGCGATAGATCAATTTGACGGCCTGAACAATGCCCGTGTATTGCTTTTGTTGTTGTTGACAGTGTTAGTATGTTATGGATTTGCTATTTCGTCTTAAATGCCACTTATCTGTCACTTTTATTACCTGGTTATGTGTGCCTTGCATTGCGAATCGTGTTCGGAGCAAGTCCAAAGGGTATGTAATTGAGGTTGCCACACATCCTGCAAGCATTCCTCCTAAGAACGTCTTTGCAGATCCCGGCAGCTGCTTCTTGGAATCCTATATCGGATATATCGATCAGTCTCGTTTCTTCGTGATTCTTCGTTCTCACACACTCTCACGACGACAAAGATTCTTACTAATTTCTCTATAGCGAGTTCTATTTCTCTATAAGCACAGAATTCTACGGCATTGTATAGCAAGTATAAGTATTCAGCTGCAAGATTGCCCTTGTAGAGTCCCTAATACATAATATATATATATATATATATTTAACGATATATAAGGAAAAAAGAATAAGCATCTTCTTTTCCCTCTTTTGCGACACCCATGGATATCCACACTCTACTTTGAAAGCAGAACGCCTTTTTTTATATACGTACACGAACGCCTTCTTCTCTCAAAATGGTCTTTAGTGCTGGTAAAACCCGATCGTACTTTACGTGGGAGCTTGGACTAGCCTGTTTGAGATGAAATTGTGTTCGGTGGGGTTGTAACTGCATGCGGATCTTTACGACATCAAAAGGTGCGGTGAAAAATCTAGTTTACAGACCATTTTTTTTTCACGTGTGTAAGCTTCTAAAATGAAAAGGAAAACACGTCTTTTCTTTGCTAGGAAAATGACAGATCAACTATGCAAGATCTCGGAGGAGGAAGAAAGAGAAGGAGAAACAAGGGCATTTCAAACGTTACCTAGAAACAACACCAGCCATTGCACCACAGAAAGCTGCTTCGTAGCCATTGAGTCGCGAATCAGTAATGTATGAAGGCATATTAGTTTTAGAGTTTTAGTTATAATAAGAAGTAGTAGTAATAATAGCGGCCACAAGAAAGTAGTATGAGTATTTTCCCGCATAGCAAAGCGGGCACACGGCCATCAATGCAAGTCCGAAAGTAAGAAAATATTTTTCAGTTTAAGGCAAAGAAGGTATTTCATTTTGTTTCGAAATTATTACGTCAAGATTAAAGAGAAGGAAAGCGAGAAAAGGAGGGGGTATAAGAAAGAAAGAATGTAACCTTTCAGGTTTATATTATTGCGTGCGTTATCTACATGTGAAGAAGGAAGGAAGGTAAAATAATGAAGAGTGGGGTTGGGGGCTATTGTTGTTTAGAATCTGCTAGCGATGACAAGCCTAGGCCATGACCACCTTGATTCCGCAAGAGAAGTCGTAGTCCTTGTTGAGGTGAATTGGATGGAGCTCCTCCTCCTTCCCCTATAAGACTTCCAAGACCTACTCCTCCTCCTGCTGATGCTGCTCCCATTCCCATAGCATCATCGACGGCTTTTTTCTCTTTAGGTTTTTGTAGCTCTTGTTGTGGTTGATGTTGATGTTGTTGGCTGGTGCAGGTGTGAGTGAACAAGGGAGACATACCGCTAGGTAGCGACGGTCGTTTGCGGATGATGCGATGACGATAGAGCTCTGCAATATCAGGTGAAATGCTTCCCGAACGTGATTGAGGACGTTGTCGGCCTACTGTGACCGCTGCTGTTGCTGCTGCTGTTGCTGCAGCGAGTGGTGAAGGGTCGGGAGATATTGATGGAGAGGTAAGCGTGGTCGTTTCCGATTGTTTGCGCGAGGCAATGCCGGATACTTCGTCGTCCTCAGTCAAGTAAATGGATGAAATGTCGCTTGCACGTCGTGAGCTCAGTCCGTCCCTGATCGACAGTGCATTCATGATGTCTTCCCGAGTCTTGATGGGGCGCGAGTGGCGAGGTGCCTGTAGATATTGGATCGTGCCTTGAGCCTGCTCAAGCATATGCGCATACTCTCGCATTCGTTCACCCACGTCGACGACGTTTCCTTGGTATTTTTCCTGGTGCATGGCAAGCGATGCTAACCTTTCCTGCAACTGACTGTTTTCATAGACGATCTGCATAATAATCATGTCGTGTTACACACATGGTCTTTCTCTCCCTCTCTCCCTTTCTTTTTTAAAATTTACGTTGGCTAGATTTGAATGCATGTTTCTGATCATGTGCGTGGTCTGTCCGTCCGATTCCCTCTGGGTCTTGACAGCGTTTTCCAGCAAGACTTGTAAATCAACATTGACTTCTTGCGTGGACGTCAAGTCGTCCTCGATTTCCACTATTATCATGAACAGGAGAAGTTAGAACGAACTATGTCCGTCAATAGGCAGATGCATGTTACCTAGTATTTGAGTATACGTACAAACACGATCTTTGGAATCATTCTGCATTTGTTGAAGAAGAAAATAGGAGGGGGAGGGGATGAGGACAGTTAGTAAGTGAAAGAGGCAGCTTCAAAGGTTAGAGAGCTTCCATTACCAAATCAATGGCCATGCCGTCAATCTGCTGCGCGAGGCCATCCATTTCATTGCGAAAGCGGAGTAGCTCTTCCTTAGCGTGCATAATGTCGCGCATCAGCTTCACCCGTTCTTCGTCATCTAATCCAGGAGGCGGAAGCGAAAGCGGTCTTTGAGATGGTGAATTGATAGGCATGGAATACGAAGCCGATGGCTGCATGTGTGCATAAAAGCAAACTAACAAGTTAATCATCTTCCTGTCCACCCCTTTTGGACACTCTTCAAAGAAAAAGAAAAAAGATCATCTCATTTCTTTCCTCGCCTTCTCTATGTGAGTGGGTGGGTGGGGATCACACTTGCCTTTACTCCATAACTTTTTGGGACTGAGGAGGTATCAATAGTGGTGGCTGTTGTTGTAGAATTTGAGTTAGTAATAAGTGTATCGTTGTTGTGGTTGTTGCGATGATGCATTGAGTATGGAGAACCGTTCCTGTCTTGATCAAAACTATGTCTTTTTCCAAGCAGCTTTCTGCCATCACAGTCCTTTGCTGCGGGTTTCGCTACATACAAAAGTTACAGCGGGCAGAAAAGACGAAAGGAAAAAAGAGGGTGAGAAAAAGAGGGAATATGCATTAAATTTTATCGAACCACACCAACACCACAAACCTTGCCCAGTTAACGTTGCCCAGGAGTCGGGATGGCTAGATTGTGAATCACCCAAAGATAGCTATTCCCATTGCAAAGGTCAGTTCATGAGCACTCTCCCTTTTCTTCACGTCTTCACTCTTCCCAACTCGACACACACACACACACACACACACACTAAAAAGAGAAACATGTCACCTGGGCAACCTCCTCGGGACAATTCATTTACTGCTGCATGAACACACGCAGGCAACAGAGAAGCAAGAATGGTTATAATAAAATATGAATATAGAGTATAGAGTATGTTGTTTTCTTTTGTTCGTTTGACCAGCTCGATTCAAAAGTAGAGGGCGTAATTAATATAACAGCTGCAGTAGTAGTAGTAGTAGTTGTTGTGGTAGTTGTGAGAATGTAAGGTAGTTATCTAAACGAGGTGGTAAATGAAAGAAAGAGAGGAATAAGGGGTAAAGTCGAGAATAAAGAGGCAATGAAAGGAAAAAAAAAAGAGTGCTAACGTCGCTTCGAGATGGTGCAAAAAGAAGGGACTCTCTTTTATCCAAGGACAAGGCACGTAATTAAGGCCAGCTGGGGCCTAGGTCGTGACTCTTTCGTTATTAAGGGCAACAGCACCAGCAACCCCGGTCCTTATTGCTGTTTTCGGCGAAACCCCACACACAGGAGCTCTTTCTCTTTCTTACCTCTTTCTTTGTCACTCTCAATATTATGCATTCCTCAATTGTCTCTCGTGCTGTCCACAAGCCCCTCATTCAATTCGTTGGCTCAAGAGCTAACCTGTGGAAGAGTAAGGACCTGTCTTGTTTTTCTTTTTTTTTTTTGCTATACCGTAAAAGAAATCGATACATTGACGCATATAATCATAATATAGACTCTGCACACCACGCTGGCCCTCACCCAATGACGCCTGCCAACCTCGAGAAACACGTTGCCAAACCGGACCCAGTCCCAGCTCAAAAGCCATCGTCACCTTCGTATACTGCCGGCTCTGTTGAATTCGGCCAGCGTCCTACTCGTTACTACCACACACCCATCTCTGAAGCCGAAATGGAAGCTATTGAGGTATGTTATGCGTGTCACTTGACTCTGTAGAAAAGCTTCTTGATTGTATATATGTGCATGTATATTAATCGACTGCTGTGCGCTTAATTTATATAGTCTGGAGGTGCTAGCTTGATTTAACTTTTCTTATCTCGCTTATTTCTACCCTATCAAACCGTGTAAAAAACACGCACCACGCTGTATACATACATATAGAAATTCCGTTCATTGACTGGCCACACACATCCATTGGTATTCTCGATCCCAACACTATATCATGTGCAATACTACCTCCTACCATTATCTTCCCTTTCAAACGGATGTGGCTGTTACGAGACGTGTTTTTGGTATTCCTGCTGTGCTTGGATCATTTTAGGGAGTGTGAGATTGTTAAAAAGTTTTAACAAATTGATTGCTACATAGTCTCATGTAATAGGAGCTCAGTGGATGCACCCTCCCTAATATCAAAGCAGATACGGGCTAAAAAGGAGCGGATAGAAATGCTGTTCTGTATACGACAGCGTGGTTTGTGATATATATATATAGGCGGATGTTGCAAAGAGGATTAAATCAAGCAGTAGTATTACACATACAGTAATTGATGGGATTGAAGGAGTAATTATGATTGTACTTCAGTTTTGGTGTCTGTCGTCGTCTTGATTTCCTCCATAGGCCAGCTAGGGGAAGCGGTAGAAGATGGCTGTTGATGTTGGTTATACGTTTTAACGTCGCTGGCATTGTGTGTTGCTTCTGTGCTGGATCTGAGCTGTCTCATCCGTCGCAAGTAGAGACCAAGTAGCACAAACCATCCAATGGTGATGATCCAGCAAAACGCATCAGCGGCATGAAGTGTCTGACAGGCAGCATCCATGTTACCTACCCAAGGGTAGATGTCGACGTTGTTGTAGATGGTACGCCACTCCATAAAGTCGGCCCAAGTACAAGCCATTGCTGAATCTGGACGAGTGATCATGTCGGCGCCCGGTAACACCGGGAAAAGTGAAGCAAAAAACAAGGCACCTGCAAGCAATGCCACGCTGCTGAGAAATGTTTTCGATGGTCGCCAGGCTGGATACGATGGGCTGGGATCCAAGGCTAAAATGATGCTGTATACGAGCGAGCAAATTGAAGGGATAAGCATGTAGACGTAAGTTGCCGGATACGCGAAAACATTGTAGTTTCCTAAACGCATGGACAGAATTCAGTATAGGTCAGTCCAAGACGGAGTGCTTCACAATTGCCTGTATGAATCAGGGCTTACCGAAGCCTGCCATCTCTGAGCCATTGGAAATAAACGAGCGGATTTTTACTGCCACGCCGATATTGAGGCCAAATAGAATGATGCCCATGACAACATTCCATAGATGAACGAGCTGGATATGATGGGTCGACTTTAATTTAGACGTAATGAATGCTGCTGCTGCCATGGCTCAGTAACGGATGAAGGAGTGAAAAGGGTATTTGTTTGAAAGAGAGTCAAGGCAAGGGACGGAAAGGAAAGGAAGAAGAGAAAAAAAAAAGCGGCGGGTCTGGATGCCTGGTTTTCAAAAAACTAAAATATTCCTGTGTCACCTCACACAACAATTTGCACGCGACAAATATGGTATACATGGTGGAGCACCTGCCTCCAAGTGATCGCCTTCCCTTGCCAACCAGCCATCAGCCCTCTGTGCGATTACACAAAATGCTGCATCGTACTCGTAATCTCGTTATACGATCCAATCGCTACTCTCCTCTTCTTTCCTTCTTTCTCGCGCAAAGACGTGCATCTCCGCATGCTTTTTGAAGCTACCAACTGCTCTTTGGCAGATCAAGAGGCTGTGAACGCCGTAGCGTAGTAACTGGACCTCTTGGTGTCAGGATTGAGCTCAAATTTGGTTTTTAAAGATATACCAAGGCTTGCCGAGCATCAGCTCAAATGACGATAAAGACAAAGGGTTAAGACAGCCTCTTTTGTTTGATATAAAGATGACAACTTAGGAGGGCTACTACGTCTTGAGTATGCAGTAACCCTGATGCGTCCTGCTGTGGCTGAATGAATAGCGTGACACTTGGTATACGCAGCATGGTTGGGTGAAGTAGGATAGCTCGGGGATGGCTAGTGGAGCAGAGCACTTGTAGAACAATCAGCAGATAGCTCGCTAGACTAGAACGTTTGGAGCGAGGAAGTAGCAAGTTCCTGAAAGCAGGTACGCGTCTCGCGGCATGATGAGTAGTTTGCTTTATCGCGAAGGAGAAAAATCTACAGTACATACAAAAAGATGAGAAATAATGTATCATCATTGTATATACGCATTCAGAAGAGGTGCAACAGAGAAGAGGAGATAGGATCCCAGTAAATGTCGATCCACTGCAACAAACGAGCTAGTGCTCGTTTTCTGCTGCTTCTATCGTAGTGAAGAAGGACGCAGTTTGTACGTGTGCTAAAAAATAAGTATCTGCTATATTTGGTTAAGGTAGTAATGTCCTTGTTTTTGTTTAATTATCATTACTGCAGTTAACTATGCCGCTTGCTGGTGCGTATGCCGGAGTCAACGGCTTGAACCGGGAGAGAGTTGTTTATATATTTGTGCATGCATGATTAATTTTGTTCACTGCAGCATTACCTACGTATACACATGAACATGAATCCTATCATACTAATTGTCACTCATGTACAGTTGGTATCTATAACTGTGCTGGTTTGGACGTACATCATCGCAAACTCAAAAATCTATTATTGTATATGTCCCAACTCCATGTCTTTATGTATCGTTGTTTATTACTATCGGGAGCCATCTGATCATAGCCGCCATGTTTATGCAGTGTGCCATGACGAAAGGTTATACACGAGCAATTTGAAGAAGCACAAAGTATACCGTTAATATCTCTATGACCGCCAGCTGTTAATGCAGAGAGAATATCAACGGCGTTTGGCAAAGACAATATAGAATGCTACCTTCATGCGCTATTGAGGTTCGTTCGGCTGATGCTCCAGGCTGCTGATGATAAACATGTCTCTGCTTGCGACTCGGACCCGCTGGCTGTTCATGGATCTTTGATCTCTTTTTTATCGGTATGGTTCAAAGAGAAAACCGTACCAGAGCTGGAGCTTGCCGCTTTTGTTACACCTGGCCCAATTCCATATCATCAAAAAAGGACAATAAATCCGTAGGGAATGGATGAAAGATATAGTGTGTTTTCAAAGTGTATTCAGAGACAATGCATATATACTCTTTTTCTTTTTCTTGTTTTTGTGCTTTTTTATCTACCACCACCAAGTGATTTCATAAGTTGGCTCATATCGGGCATTCCTCCACCTCCACGGCCACCGCCGCCACCAAACATACCGCCCATCTGTCTTGCCATTTTTTGAAGTCCTGCCATGCCGCCAACTTGTTGCAACATTTCCGGTGGTATCATGTTGGCCATCTGCTGTTGCATTCGTGCCATATTGGCCATCTGATTTGGGTTGGCCTTCCTTGGATCTGTTGGCATATTGCTTAATAATCCACTCTTGCCGCCCATGGTTTTGACCATTTGTGCAAACCGCGTATACTGCGTTAAGATTTCCTCTACTTCGTGGACGCTGGTGCCAGAGCCCTGGGCAACGCGGACAATCCGTGATCGATCTTTTTCAAAAGACTTGTTGTCTCCATCAAGTTCTATTGTTGTGCATAACATAAGTTAGATAAACTTCATCAGCCTCACATAAAGTTTACACACATACATGCGAGAACTTACCAACATCAGTCATACTGTCCATAATGCACATCATGCGCTTAAACCGCTTACTGCTTTCTTCTTCTGATCCTGCCAACATATCAGAGGGCATTCCCGGTATATTTCCCATAAGCTATGAGAAATCGCACATCTTAGTGTCACCGAATTTACGGTATAATCCAATGTCTTTTTTTATATATCTACCTTTGAAAGAGGACCCATTTTAGATATTTGTTGGAATTGATCATACATATCTCGCAGTGAATATTTTCCTATATTGAGAATACAAGTCGACGGTGTAGTCGCGGGTGCATTTTCACCATCAGTAAATGCGCTTATCCTCATATGCAACCCCACAAATCATTCACAGCCTTCATGCCTTAGTTGAAGAGCAAAGAGCTGAATAACCAACCTGCTTCCAGATTCTTCATCAAATTCTTGTTTTGATCTAACTTCATGTCTTGTACTTTTTCTACGAGATCACGCATATCGCCCATGCCAAGCATCTTTCGGACAAATGACTCTGGCTCGAACCGGTCGAGATCATACATGTGTTCACCTGTACCAATAAAAATAACAGGACTCTGTGATGCTGCCACACTAGAGGAGTAAACAAGGAAAGCATGAGTTTGATCCACTTATACAAAAGAAAAAGATGACAGCGCTTCCTCCTATTTTCTACACAATATAAAAGAACAACATACGCAGAAATGGCACCACCACCCTTTGCATGGCCATCCATCTTTGTCATGATAATTGATCCAAAATCTGCCGCTTCCTTGAAAGCCTTGGCTTGACCTTCAGCTGCCTGACCAATAGTACCATCCATAACAAAAACTGTCGAATCTGGCTGTACTGCTGCTGAAATCTGTTTCATTTCCTCAAACAATTCTGCTTCTTGCTTGTGGCGACCCGATGTATCAACAATGATGATATCGAACTTATCAGCCTTAAACTTTTCCACACCTTCAAGCGCAATGGAAACAGGATCATTTTCGGTGTAACTACAATGTATAATTCGACAACACGAACCTTGTCATAAGTAATTGCTTTTCTCCATAAGCACTTTATGTACACCCTTGAGCATTATCACCAGTATCACAACTTTATAAATTAGAGAAAGACCTTTCTCTTTACTTTACCTGCCATAGTAAGGGATCTTTGCTTTCGTTGCATTCTGCTTCAATTGATCGAACGCACCAGCACGAAAGGTATCCGCACAGACCAAAGCCACTTTCCAACCCTTTCGTTGATAATGTGCTGCGAGTTTCGTACAGGTGGTAGTTTTACCGGCACCTTGAAGACCGACCATCATAAAAACGTTGGCACGTCCCTTGACAGGCTTATAGGGTTCAACACCGGGATCCACTAGCTCGAAAAGCTCATCCATAACGGCCTAGATAATAATAAACGCTTTAGTATATACATACTCAAAGCAGTGTTCCCTCCACCCCATACTGTTGCCATGGCATAAGAGCTGCTGTATGTCGTTGTTGCGCATAGATATATCCCTCCACGACGACGACTAAGACACAGTTTTTGTACCTTCTGAATAACTTTCTTTTTGTTAACGCCGCCTCCCATTTCGTTAATGTTGACGCCTTTTTTCACGTTGTTACGTAGTCGCTGTACAAGCATTACATTGACATCGGATGCCAATAACGCTGCACAGATCTCTTTTAACATGGAATCGAGAACCTACACATGCAATGAAAAACATTAAGTACACCGTAAGAACTTCAATCCTTGGACAGTCTGGATCCATTGCTCCATAATTACACCCACCTTCTCATCTACAACAGGTGCTTTGGCCAAGTCGACCAAAGCCGAATTGATCTTTCGACCCAAATCAGCTAAAACCATGGTTGAAGTGGTGTATCTGTATCAGTAAGTTGGAGCTGTCTTTTGTGCAATAAAAGCACTATCGCAGCCAATAAAATTTAATGGCGGAATTAGGCACTCTGGGGTGTTGTAAATCTGTGTCATAGTCAGATTTGGTTGTCCCTTCTGTCCCTCCATCGCCACCTCTCGAACACGTAGTCGCTTCTGATTAACACACGAACATGATTAAACGTAAAATTGTTTCATGCGAAAACGTAGTCAATTATCCTTCCGAAAACATAGCCATTATATATATCTAGCATAATCTTAGCACATACTTGGAAAACATATAGATATCCCCCTCATCACAAACAATAAACAGTATCTTTCAAGTCGTCTTTTATTTCTATTTCTTCTCTATTTTTCTTTTTATTTGCCACGGTATCAACCGCCAAAAAGAAGACAAAATTTTGTAAAGGACAATTTCCAAGGTAGCAAAATGATGATCATCCTCCAACTAAAGGACATGTTTTTTTATAAACAGATATCACACTTACCTATGCATACATCAACCTTTCTGATCCTACATACGGATGTCTATAGCACTCACATAGAGAGATACATATTTCGTTAGATATCATCTGACCAAAATTTAGATGAGACTTGAAAAAGTCGATACAACAAGTAATAGGTGACATGACGGATTTTAGCAATAAAAGTGGGAAGTCAAGTAAGCAAGGCAAAGACAAAGCTATTTGTTGTGACATTGATCATAGAGTTCTTCATTCTATGTATGATACGGGGGAAAAGTAGGGGAAAGGATGATGTTTGCGGGTATTGTCTAAGTCAATCCTATCTAGACTATCGCATCGCTATTGAATGACTCTTAATTGTTACACTTTAGTGCGTCGTTGGCTGGCCGTAGCTTTCCATCCTCGTCCCGGAACTTTTGCAGTGTTGTTGGCTCGTGGCAGTGCGGGCACACCTTGCTAGACTGAAACTTGTCAGTAATGCATAGATGGCTGATTTCGCGCGTGTCCACTTCTGTTTTAATCTTCTGCTTGCATCTTGTACTTGCGTTGCTGCTGTTACTGTTGCTGATGATGATGATGTCGGCGCCAGCGGTGCCAATCAATTGATCGGTGTACTGTATTGCTGTATCGAATTAAAGATGTGAGTGATAGCCGTTAAATATAGCGGTAACAGCGACAACATGGCCTGAATCAATACGACCCACACCCAGTGGATTGATGTTGTACAGAGCCTCGGGAATGTTCTTTTGGACAGTTGGCTAAACAAAACCCAACCGCAAGCATATTCGCTGCTACTCATAGATGTCATGCGGGTCGTATCGCACATGTCATTTGACCATACTTTAATCTTTTTATCAATGACAATTTCCTCATGTCCCTGCTGATACAAGGCATTTCTGCGACATACAACTGCGATCTTGCGTCTGCAAGTTGCCTGTGGACTCGCGCAACCTCTGCTTCGATATGGCGAATTGCAACTCTTGAAACCTGAACTGCTCTTAATACAGATCAGAGTCTCTTGCTTCCTTCATCTTTGTCCGTCGGCGCGCTTCTTTTCAAAAGATCCATATTTATATAGTACAGTTGTACCCCGGTTTTTGCAACCGAGGGTTTTCCGATTTTTTTTTGCAAAAAGTGAGGATTTGCAAGTAACGGGGTAAACAATTCTGCTTCAAATAGACACTGGATAAGTCATCCTATTAACACTAGCCCATTGTTTATCTGTCAGAGATTATGTACGATACGTTCTGTGGAAACATTCATACAGCTCTAAATGTTACTACTTGCATATATAAGACCGTTCTTTTATTAAGCTGTCTAGTGGTTTGATGATTATTAGCTCTTTTAAGCATGACAAAATCGTTCCACAAGTTCACCTCTAAGCAAGAGGATCGAACCTACGACGAGCACTTGAGCGGGCGGTGGACGAAAGCGCTGATTCGCCTATTCCAGGGCCAACGTCGAAAGAAAAACAGGTTGCAATTGCAGGAGTTTTGAGCTTTTTGGATAATATCGATGACTGCGACTTAAAGAAGTCTTTGCGTAGGATTCAAGAGAGTCTCAGGCAGCAATCATTCTCCCGACAATCATCCCTTGATGACTTCTTCGATGTATGTAGTTGAAAGCTCATTTGAGCAAACATTTTATTTCTATATCTATATGTAGTGTGTTCACTTTTTCTTATATCTTCTTCATTTCTTTTGTTGATTCAACCCAATCAGTGCTATATATGTGTCCCGATTCTACTGGCTCAACTACCAAGTAATAATTTTTATTTCGACAATAAATACATCTTCATATTTACATATTTATCTTGCAGTAACCGTATCATTTTATTCCTCATAATCCGCAACAGATGCTTCTTTCAGTTGATATTGCAAAAATTGAAGCTGTTTTTACCCCGATAACGTGCAAATCGTATAAACTCATTTGCAAGTTGCAAATTTGCGAAGCTACTAAGTTTTTTTTGAATTTTTCAAAAAAAGTTGCAGATATACGAGGAATTGCAAACCCGGGGGTTGCAAAAACCGGGGTACAACTGTAAGGCAGGTAGTTCAAATTGTTAGCCTGCGGATCCTCTGCCCCACCTTGGTCTTGAGCTCTACCAGATCTGTCTGTCTGATCGTTTTTCCCTGCAGCACGTTTTTCCTTGATTGTTTTCCCTCTTCTTGGTTTTCTTTTTGCTTGCGACGCTGGGATTTTTGTTGTCCTTTTTAACGCGCCTTCGATGATCTGTTCTTTTCCTTTCGATTAAGACGCTTCTCCTTTTGCTTAGTACGTCAGCCATACTTACCACTTCCAGTATCACTTCGTCATCACTGGGAAAATTGTCGCTCTTGCACCTTTAAATGACTGTCTCCCTTTTGCTTGTTGTTCGTCTTTTGGTGTATCAGTTGCGATCTTAAAATCCTGCGAGAAAAAGGTGTAGAGAACATACGTTGACATATGTATGAAGTGGTCCTCTCCATGAACGGACAGAAGGGAAGGTAGCCTACATACCGGTTCTGTTGAGCATCGATCAAAGCTACAGCTGCGCTGGTTATACATACGCAAGCGGCACACAGTGGTAGATTGTCAGGGTATCCTTGTCCTTGTCAGCGACATCACCATCACCGTCTTCGTCGAAGTTTTCATCGTCAGATTCTGGCATGTAGTACGACTGTTGGGACCTCGACCAGGTTCTCTCGACTACTGTAAAAGCAAATACATCACGTATTACTGCGCCGCTATTATTGTCTTTATATCTGTATTGTAATACACTGTTCTTCAGCATTATGATAGATACTACCGACTATAATCCTTCTTTGCTCTACGCTTCTCCAAGTATGAAATACTTTCTGGAATCTACAGAAAAAATAGAAAGGGAAACCTAGAAGACTATGTAATCCACACATAATCCTCAGACAAATACAAGCTTTTTCTATTATAGTGGTAGCCAGTATGTAGGACATTTTTATTCAAGTTCTTTTGTTTCTCATACACAACCAATTTGTATATTTATGCCTCATCATGCCACATGATGATTACAACAACGTTTTTATCGATCGGTGACGGTGCTTGCTACAGTATTCTGGAGCGATGCCCGGAGTACTGCATATGATACAGTAACAATAATAATAAATTGCTTAAAGTGGAGCGGTCTTAAACGCTATTCTTTTATTGTCGACTGCCATGATAATTATGAGTAAATTTAGAAGCAACAGGCAATCACACATTATCCATCACATGAAATATGTAATAAATGAATGGATTCGTGTTTATCATATGATATACATACAGGTAAAATAATAGCTTCATTATTGTTTGTCACTACTAGTGAAATGTAACAATTGATAATCAATATTGTTCATTTGGTATAAGCTTTTCATCCAAGTTCTTTGCCCGTTCAGAGTATTTGGCTTCGCCTACAATGAATCGCACCAATTTTGTCAGGTGTTCCAACTCGTCAACTATCTCTGACGAGTTGAAAGCCATGCAGTACCAAGATAAGTTTTGAAATTTAATCCAACGGTCGTCCCCTTCACTGGCATTTCTGCGTCGGTTGATGATACGAATACGTGCTGCTCGCATCGATGGAAGATAGACTGGTAATGGAATTTTGGAAGCCAGTGAGCTTGAGACGGTGTAAAAATGAAGCATCAATGCAGCAATCTAAATCATATTTTAGAAAAAGAACGAATAACGGCACACCCCTCCATACAGCTTCATGCTTCGTCTCATATAGCTAATATACTAACCATGTCCCGTCGATACGTGTAATGTTGCTGATTACAGATATCAAGTTTGACGATCCAAGGCATCTGAAGCAAAGCCACACGTATACTTCCCAGGCTATCGAGGATCGCTTGACAGGAGTCGATCATTTCACGATATATTTCTTTTGGAAACGGCCCTTTCAATCTTGGCTCATGGTCTGTAAGCTCCAAAAGCACCGAGGTTGCATTGATGGATGCTTGTATCTTGTCTTCAATCTTTGTGCATCGGCGCATATCATCTTCAGTGGGTGGAACATCAATGTCGTGGTATAGAAAAGTTCCTACTAAAAAGTTGTAGTATTCGCCTAATCGGTTCGAAATTCCGGATACTGATTTACGAGTGGCATGTCTCGCGATAAATGGCCATACCGCACTATGTATTTATAAAGCATGAAAACCCCATTTCAGCCAAATGCAGGTACATTGTAGCCTCTTTTTTTAAGTTTCAGGCGAAGTTGTATCCATCGTAGTATGACTTACGAGTTCAGGATCATAGCAACTGGTCAATTACATATTTGTATTTTAAAGAAAGTGGATTAATAAGATTTTGTCAGCCTTGCACATTGGATCCGCAGCAGCGAATGAGAACATACATACCAACAATACCGACAATAACAGTGACCATTCGTTTCCTGTTATATATACATATTTCCTTTAATGCTTGATTCTGTGGTCCACCATATATGTCGATAGATATTAACATACCACACGGTAGTATATATACTCTCTCCTGGATTCGGCTGAGCATACCGTGTTAATGCAACGGCGACATAAGTGACCAAAACGACAATGCCAATTTTGTTATATGTACTACCAAGATGGATGTAGAAAAATGGAACCGCTATAATAATAGAGGATGATACATCCGGTGTCAGTAATTTACCAAAGGAGATCAAGTTGGTTCTGCCGTACCCAAAAGAACTGCAAAAACTGCAAGGACATAGGCGCTGCTTTCACCTGTCGCCAGAGCAGCGAGCCCGACCATCGCGCCAATTATAGTGCCAACAACTCTCCACGCACTAGCATGCAATGTGCCCCCGCTACATATCCGTAGTACATGTTCAATACACCAAGTCGAGTGCAGCTCCTATTTAATCATGGTCTAAAGATAATTCTACACAGCACTAACCTTGTAGGATTCATAATTGCAATTACAGTAACAGACGCCCACTGTCCTCGATCTTGGATGAACCACCCGGCAGATTCGGGTACAAACGCCGGTATACATAAAGAAGTAACTGCAACAGCTGTTTTTAGGGCAAATTTTGCTTCGTACTTTGTCAGGTATTGCAAAAAGCACCATATGTTATAACGCATTGCGATGATAAATGGTGGTTTATCATTGGGCCATCGCTGCTCACTAGGCTGTTGTTCTTTAGGAGGAGAATGCTTGTCGTGTTTTTTGCGTTGTTGAACCACGGTTTCTTCGTCGTCGTGTTGCTGTCGAGGCGGGAGAGTCAATTGATTCTCTATATCCATAAGCAGAACGCTGTGCTTTCGGGTGTCAATATTGGCTCTTCTACGAGTGCTGCTTGTGGTGCTCGGTGGTCGAAGGGAACGCTCGCTACTGCTGTCGTTAGTACTACGTGTTCTGGTATTGCGTAGCTGTAATGCTGTTGCAGTGGAGCTTCTACGTGTCTTTGGCCGCTTGGGAGGTTGAAATGTAGCAAGTCTGTATTCATCTTGTAAATCATTTCTGTTGACCGGTTCTTTGTTTTCTGTGTACTGAGCCAGAACAGCTAAAGCAGCGAACGCAGATTTTTGTGTTTCAACAGCATTAACTTTACGCTTTGCAATAGAACAAACTCGTCAGACCAAATCAAATATGTTCTTACCATGGGAATAGCCGCCCTTGTCGCGGGTGCTTTGATGGTTACTCGAGCTGGCCCATTTGCGTAGCCACCGAAGCGTTGGCCGAGGTATATACAAACGCTTTCTTTTGTTGTTGTACCGCGCTTTGATTATGCCCATGTTGCGTGTCATTGTTTCCAGTTCCTTGGAAATCTCCCGAATAGTAAATATAAAGAAGAACACCATAAATAGCTCTTCGTGAATATTCAAGTCGATCGCCTCATCATTCGTACGAGTTCTGTTATGTGCGTACAAGGTCCGTATTTTTTCTTTTTCTGCTGCATCAAAGTGGCGCAGCGACTGTAACATGTCAGCCGCACAAGTACAAAGATCAGTATCATGCCAGTGTCTGTGCTCTTGTCGTCTAGCTTCGTCTTTCTCGTCCGTTGTATTGCTTGCTTCAACACCATCGGCTTTGGAATCCTCGCTCTTCTTTCTCTTCTTGCCACAGCCTGGAAGCGATCCAAATATTGGTTCATCCGTAGTTTGTGTACCAAGCTCGTGACAGATGCTGTCACGAACACACATCAACGCATCAACGCATTTGACAGACAAGGAAGTCAATGGCTCGCGCAGACTTTCAAGATACGTAAACAGTAGATTTTGATCGCTCCTAGAGTGGATTGCTTTCTTTCGTTTTCGGGGTGCTGTCACTGACGGCTGTGGTGATAAAAATTTGGGTATGTTGAGAAAGGCCTTGAGCGAAGATACCGATCGTTGATTTCGTTCTTCAGAATAATCGTCTTCGTCGTCAGCATAATGCTCGTCATTACCCGCGCTTTGTGGTGAAGTACCACTTTTGTGTTTGTAGTGCATGGCTGCTTTTCGTAGACTGGAGGTTGAACGTGATGTTGAATGGTCTGGGAAAGTATTACTCGCATCCTCGTCGTCGGTAGCTCTCATCATTGTCTTCGGTCCCGTCTTTGCTGATCCACCGTCCCCTTGTTGATCGTCACTGCTGCTGTTGTATTGGTTATCATCGTTTTGAAGTGATGCCAAGATGCTGTCAAAGAGCTCGCGCTCACTTTGAAGCGACCGACCCAGAGCACTGAGATGCTTGGTAATACGTTCCAAAGATTTACGGATATCAACAAGCTCTTTTGGTCGAATCCGGGTATATGATACCTCATACTTGGCTTCCTTGTAAGCCGTCCGCACCTTGTTCATATTTTTGCGCATCTTTTCTGCTGTGTCGTCGATAGTTTTGGAAGGGAGCATTTCTACACCAGGATCCAAGAAAAACTGTTTGGTAATCATATCAAGCATGTCTTTGCTACTAGTCATGGTTTCTCGAAGAGCGCGTCCTTGAATATGAATTGTTAGCGCCACTAGAGGCTGCGACTTTTGAGCATAATATGTAAATACAAGTACCTAACCCATCCACGGCTGTTTCTGGCCAGATAAACAAATTCACCACCAACGATATTCCGCATCCGATCAGCAGAGAAATGCCAAATTCTACCGGAAGCTTGTAGGGTATTTCTAAGGCTTGGGTGCCGACTGTAAGTGTAAAGACCTGCACAATCATAAAATGGAGCGAAAAGAAGAAGAATTTTGGATAGATCTGGCGTAGTAACTGGGCACCAAAAATGCCACATAGAAGAAAAATGGCGTTCACCGTCGAGCCGATCGGATGTGTTTGATAGGTTGTCGGATGATGGACGTTATATGCGACTGAAGCTGCAAGGCCTGCCATACCATAAGCGACCGCCAAAATGATCCCCGAAACAGCCATGATGGTCGCGTCGATCTGGGCACCCATACTTCGTCCTGGATGAGAAAATAAGCAGCCTGTGGCTACCAAGAAAGGCGCTCTTCCTAGCGCTTGGGCGACAGGGTGGATCAGGATGAATAACGTGCTGATGAAGTAAGCTGTAGCACATTTTAAAACGCGTCGAACGATACGGCTAGGGAATTTACGATGCAAGTATGCTTGGACACGCTTTCTACGCGACTTGCTTAAATTCTCTTCTGCTGCTCGATCTGGATCCAAGGAGCCTTCCCGCGATGATTGGATCCATTCTTCAAACTGTTGTGGAAATCGAACACGAGCTCGATGGCTGTCGGTATCTCTTGGGGTTGACGACCAGGAAGTTTCTCTGCCGGTGTCGTTGGATATCCTTATATCAAAGTAGCTGGACAACAGACACATACCTATTAATCACTATACGATGATTATACATAAACCCCGGTGAATTGTTGTTATTACCCAGTCCTTGAATCCTCATTGCTCATCAGTTTGATTTGACACTTCTTAGTTTGACGAGTGAAAGAGAAAAGAGAGAAGAAAAGAAAATTTGCCGCGGAACATGGATTTGCTATTTTTTGCGTTATCTACTGCGTTGGTTGAACGAGGTTTCAGATGATGATTTATTGATTTTCATGTAAAGAGGGAGGTTAAGCATAGTATTGTAACGACATTTTCTTCTTTGCCTGTACTTCTTGTATAGCATCCATAAAGTCTTCGTGTGAAATCTCCACAGCGCCTCGTCGCAAGGCCAACATACCACCTACAGACAAAGCAAAGCGTCAAGAAGAGAAAGATTAGCAACATTCCGGTATTTCGACAAACAAACAAATATATAAATAAAGGAGAGGAGAGGAGAGGAGAGAACATTACTTTCTACGCAGACAGCTTTACACTGAGCGCCGTTAAACTCATCGCAGCATCTAGATAATTCTTCAAAGTTGACATCCTTGTTGACGTTCATTTTACGGGAGTGGATCTGGATAATGCGTGCTCGTGCTTCTTCATTTGGCAGGGGGAATTCAATTTTTCGATCCAAACGTCCTGACCGGAGCAATGCGGGATCGAGGATATCGATACGGTTTGTTGCTGCAATCACCTTGATGCGCTCGTCTGATGAGAAACCGTCAAGCTGGTTCAACAGCTCCAACATGGTTCGCTGTACTTCACGATCACCCGATTTTTCACTGTCGAAACGCTTAGTACCGATAGCATCCAATTCGTCGATGAAGATGATTGCTGGTGCCTTTTCCTTGGCCAGGTTGAATGCGTCGCGTACGAGTTTGGCACCGTCACCGATAAACATTTGTACGAGCTGCGGACCGGCAAGCTTGAGATAGGCAGAGTTGGTTTGTGCTGCGCATGCTCTTGCAAGTAACGTTTTGCCAGTACCGGGAGGACCGTACATAAGTACACCCTTGGGAGGTTTGATGCCAATATTCTTGAATCGGTCGGCGTGTGTCATTGGTAAAACGACGGCTTCCACTAATTCTTCAATTTGCTTATCCAGACCACCAATATCGTTGTAATCTTCTGTTGGCTTCTCGTCCACTTCCATTGCTTTTACACGGGAATCGTACCTAGTGGTTTTGCGTGTGATAACAATGAGCATCTTTTATCTTAAAGCAATATCTTTAAATGCCCTCCCCGTACGCTTAACGCTTATCACCATAGCAAATCGCATCAATATGCTTTTTCTGCTTACTCTGGTGGCAATGTGTCCAAAATCAAAAAGCTGTCCTTGTTGACACCAATGATATCACCAGGCTTCAATGTTTCTGGGTCGACTAAACCGATCAGAGGCAAGAAGACAGTCTAGAAAAGAATATGGCGTTCAGTATACGATCATTCTTTCACTTTACCTCTCTAAAGTCATAAGTACACCCCTCCCCTTCATGTAAAACCTACTTGGCGCGTTGACGTTTTGATGACAGCACACTTTCCTTTCCGTCGTGAATCAAGATCCACATTGGCACCTTCCTCCTCATCTTCATCAGGATCTACATCGAGAAGCTATCGCCAATGTATTAGTAAGCTTATATATGTTTAGGGGACATTCGATCCTGATCTGGTACGATTCCACCAGTTTTCATGATTACCTCAACAACGTTACCGACGAGGTAAGGAAGTTGCTTGTTCATCTTGATCTTTTCCTTGTTATCTTTGATTCGTTCTTTCATGGCTGCTTGCTCGTGTTGCAATCGCACAATTTCAGACTTCATCACCTGTTTTGTTGCATTCGTACGAGTGACATGTTAAAAAAACACATTGTAAATATCATAATAACTTTCATATTACGTGTCGTTTTCTATCAGCGATTGGTTCCTCCTTTAAAGACTACTGACCTTGATATCATTTTCCAAAAGTCTGGTTCTGTTGTTTATTTCTTCAGGAACCAGACGGCGAATCTCGAGTTCAATGTCGTCGTCGGCTTCGTCATTTTCCCACAAGGATTTATCTTCAAGCGTTGCCATATTTGCAAAGGAAGAGAAGTTGGGTTAAGCAAGAGTAACGCGAATGCGAGCGGCACTTACGCAACGCTCTTTTGAGTATAAAATCTACGTCATTTACTCGCCTGCTATTGGTTGATTGCCTATTCCCTTCTCGGAAACTCCTTCCGGACAACATGTTGTAGACCAGGTCAAATTGATGGTTGCGAAGGTTTATCTAATTATTTACTGATTACGCGTCCCGTCACAAGGAAGAGTGAGAAAGAGAGTATAGGCTATAAGCTAGCTGAAAAGCAATTGGCTCTATCTCTACTGTTAAGATTTTTATGTTAGCTGGCAGCACACGCAGAAAGAGCTATTACTCCAATAGACGAGTTACACGGTCAGTCTTGATTCAATGATGTGAAATCAAAAGCTTGCTTGAATACAATGATAGCAGCAGCAGGCACTGATATGATATAAAGCTGCCCATATAAGAAGGTGACATGTCGAAAAAAAGAAGTTATAATTTTTGTTGCACATCATCCTGCCATTCTATCTAAGACAGGTCGTGAGAGTACATTGACCATGAGTTGGCATTATCTGTTTACTTTAACCCTCAGCAAAGGCAATGCGGCATATTATTATTATCTCTTGAACCTGCAGCCTCTATCCACCTCTCTTTTAGTGGACCTGCTGTTGCTACTGACACTGCTTAGCATGACCGTTTTAAGCAGAAGGAAATTAGATGGCTGTCTGAGCCCGACTTTCTTATAGTACAGACTAAACTTAGGACACACTCCTATGATTGTCTACATGGTTTTTGTTTGCTAACATCATCATAATACCATTCAACCAAAGTATCAAAAGGCCTGGTAGCCCTCAACTTTCTCTCGAAGCACGTATACTTATGTAGACTATTACTATGATCAGCTTGGAGCATCCTTCTTCGAACAATGTTTGTGATTATCTCTATGTATGGACTATTGGTTCTTTTAATTACATCTGTATCAATGCGCTTTCACAAACTCCATGTAGCTGCTAAATTATTTTGAATAAGAAGCTCAACCAATCACTCTCACTTTGTGCCCATCAAGCGCCTGTTGTTGTTGTTGTTGTCAAAAATGAAGCAGTGTCAGTGCTGCAATAAAACTTTTATTGGGAGAGGCGAAGACGTGTAGTCCAGTTGAATTGGGATGGACCTCTCCGTTACGCAGGCCTGAGTTTGAAAGTCCTTCTTAAAAGATTTTTTTGTTTAAAAAGACGGCTTTTGTCGACTACGATTAACAACCAGCAATTGATACAACAATGGCAACCAACGCACTTCACGTTTCGGTCGGTAATTCTGCGACAGCACCTCATCAACGGCCATTCACTTGCACTGTGAGCCCCGTGGTTCTTTTCGCCGTCTTGGACCATTACTTGCGCCGCGATGACAAGCAAAACAAAGTGATTGGCGCTTTACTCGGTGTACGCAGCCCCGATGGCACCGAAGTCGAGATCAAAAACTCGTTCAGCGTGATTCACACCGAAGAAGATTCGCAGATTGTTTTAGACAAAGAACATTACACCAACATGCACGATTTGCACCAGCGAGTTAACCCTGAAGAAACCATTCTTGGTTGGTACACCACGGGTCCCAACTTGACACCTGCCAGTGCTCCCCTTCATACCATCTTCTCCCAAGACACTGGTCATTTCCGACCCATTCACGTTACTTTTGATACTGAAATGCTTTTGAAGAGCGATGATATGGGCATGCAAGCATACACGAGGTTAGCTTAATAGAGTGATTTGCTATATGTCGCGTATGACATGTATGTGCAGGAACATTTTCAGTTTCCTAAACCAAGTCAATTATTTTTGTACTTCTCATCATAGCGCACCCGTTGGCTTCTCCACCAAGCCTGGTGATTGCATGTACTTGCCCGTACCATGCGAGACCAAGTATGTCGATGCTGAACGGAGTGGATGTAAGTTTTATCTAGATGGACAACAACGGATTTTGATATTTTTGAAACATGGGTTGTTAACCTAGTGTATGTTATGGATTGCAGTGGATATGCTTGCATCGGCAAAGTCATCAGAGAACCGTTCGGCATCACTTTTGTCTGATATGGATCATTTGGAAGTGGCCGTTGGCAAATTGCAAGAAATGTTGCAGAGAATCAGTGAATATGTAGACAGCGTTGTGGTAAGTTCTTATGAAGGCCTTACACGTCAAGACAAGATGGATTGAGCTCCGGATAGTTAGAGTTGGATAGAGAGAATGAGTGACTATACTGACCGTGTGTGTGTTTGTATATTAGGATGGCAAGGAAAAACCCAACAACGCCATTGGTCGATACATCATGGATACTGTTTCCGTGGTCCCCAAGGTCGACAGTGCCTCCTTCGAGAAGATGTTCAACTCTCACCTCCAAGATCTTCTTATGGTCGTCTATCTTGCAAACATGACTCGCACCCAACTCTCTGTCGCCGAACGATTGAACCTGTTTGTGTCCAACTAAACTAATTCTTCTTCTTCTTCTTTGTACGCTTTATCTTGTTTTTTCTCTCCCTCTCTTTCACTCGCACACTCACACTACCTACATATAAAAAAAATACTCTGTTGTTTCATCTTTCTACTGCCTCGCCCACCCCCATCACTTCTCTCTCTTTCGTTGTGTACATACAGAACTTTGCTTGGAGAGTATTTCAGTCCGATAAAGATTTGTGTGAATAGAAACAATCTGGTTATCCGAGGATCATTCGAGTTTCAGAGTGGAGATTTTGTCAAACGGGGATACTGCTGCTATTGTCAATGACATAACTTGTAACGTGTGTAAGCTGCTGGTGTCTCGAGTGTGGTCGACGAGTGGTAAGCGTACGTCAGGATGGTATTAAACGCATATCGGAACAAACAAATCAACGCACATCTTAAAATGAAATGATCTACGGAGGTCTCAGTTTCGCCGAAATCCTGACCTGCCGCTTGGCAGACCACGAGTTGTGAAGTCGTGCCTACACGCAGGAAAAAAAAACTTGCTGCTGCACCCACTCTTCTTCCTTTACTTTTTTCTCAAAAGATCGCGCAGCTTCTTTCCTATTAGTACACATACGAAAATTCAACAAAGCAATGGATTTTGACGGCGAAGGTTTTGGTTCCTTTATGGCGACAACGCCTCGTACATTTCCGCAAGGGGAACTGACCGATGTCAGGGTAAGTACACATTATAAAGAAGAAACGCCATGAGCGTAGAAAGAGCTCGACATTGACATTATATCTCTGCATGTAAAGGGCAAACGTGTGAATGTACGCCAACTCGCTGAAGATTATCTTTTGGTGCTGATAACCCTGAAAAAGATAGAGTGCCCAGTTTGCCCTCAGCTATTAAAGATACTCAATTTGTATGGTTTGGAACCAGACGAAAACAAATATGTCGATCCCTTTACTCACCGGGTCTGGGAAATCGAGCCCGATCGTAAAAAGGTAATACGACAATCGTATTCGGGCCTGATAGATAGATACATAAACAAACAACCCACATATGCCGTCTAACATGATATCACGCATCAACATGCAGTTCTTTCGATTATTGCTTAAACGCGACGCCTACTTCATCGTTTTATGTCCGGGAGATGAGGATCAAGTGGCCCAGATCCAACAACAGACGCCCTTTATGCACTATCCATTCATTGCAGGTGAACAAGCTTTATTACTAGGCCAGAGCTTGAAAATCAGCATGTCAGACTCGGAACTATGGCCAGCAATCCTCGAAGTCGAGCCGGGCACGCTTGCAACGAAACCGATCAGCATTGGACGCGGTCCCGGTCAATATTATCACATGCGCTTGCTGCAGAAGCTGTTTATCGAACGGTGTCGCTTGGAGATGCAAGGTATCGAAGCTATGGCCGAGGCATGGAATCTAATCGATCAGCAGAAACGGAGGATTGTCAAGTGTCGGGAAAAAAAGTTGGCAGGTTACAATTTAAGCCTACTTCCGCAACTTCCACCTCCATCACCGCCCACACCGCCGCCGCAACCTTTACTCAGAAAATCCACAGAGAGGCCACCGTCAGAGAAAGGAGGAGACGATACAGAAGCAGACGGTGCCACAGCTCCTTGTCGACCATTGCATGATGTCCTTCCACCCGAGGTTTTGGATATCGTCTTGTCATTCACCCCAGATACACGCGCTCTTGTCAAAGCTGCTAGAACGTCTCGGATTTTTTATATGACATCATGTAATGTAATCATTGCGCGCTTGCGGGAAAGCATTCAGCGGGTCCAACTTGCATTACCAAAGAAGGATGGACACGCGCTTGCGGACGAGGATGAAACTGTCAGTATGGGGCTGAATCGATGGCATCAAGATCCGGAAGGTATCGGATATCGCGAACTTCAGCGTCGAATGTCCGCTCTGAAGGCAATCGTCGCGGATGTGAGCAAATGGACTCGACACTGGTCACCTCGCAAGATTCGAAGAACGCCACCTCGATCTTTTGGAACACCTGTTGAGATCTAGTCATGTAGCATTTATTATCAAGTTATCATTTCTGTTTTTCTTTTGTACATATAAATATTCAACAGAAATTTATGGTTCTTGAAGTCTGGAAATGCAGATACATATATTTTTTATATGTATGTAAAAAAAAGAGGGAAACTTCAATATTGTACAGATGGATGATTATCTAAATAGCAAAAGTATTCATGGAAAGATTGTGCGGAGGGGTGTGGGGTGTACAGCCTCCTAATTCTGGTTATTCTTGATCTTCACTTTCGTGCGTTTTTGGTAAGATGGGCTCGCTCGTCATCATCCAACCTAGGATCAGAGAATCAGCAATTATGTAGCAAAGTAATCTATGAATATTAGCTTTTCTCCAAACTTACTGGTCATCATCGTCATCATCATCTGTATCATCTTGTCTGTTCAGCAAGGTGTTGCTCTCGTTATTATCACGAGTGTTGGCAGTAGCACGGTGCTCAGTATATGCTGGGGGTGATGAAGAAGATCCATTCTCTTGCTGTTGCTGTTGCTGTTGTTGTTGATGATGATGATGAGATCGATCGGCACTCTTTCGGCCAGAGACGCTCACCAAACGAACCTTGTCGTGATCATCATCACTTAGATCATCATCGCCGACTTCAAAAATGGCAGTCTCATCCTCCATACCACGTCCGTGAGGATGGTTAGATCGGCTACCCAATCCTTCGGAATGCTGAAGTTGATTCTCCAGATCCATAGCCTCTTCCTCATCCTGACTGATCTGCTGAAGTCCATATCGCTGGTTGTTGTTGGTAGGACGCCAAAGCAAGATGATTATGAAAAACACGGCGAAATAAAGCACGTTGAGCAAACCGTCCAGCATGATCCATCGCCACTTCCAGGAATTGGCTGCCCAGTCCACTTCATTTCTTCCGGAGAATCCAAACATGTTTAGGATAAAAATCACGACGACCATGATGACCGAAAAGATTAAAAGACGGTGTACACGCTTATACATGAGAACCTTGACATGCTGCTTGCGCATTTCTAAATTAAAGTGTTGTTTGTGTTAGAATGTATGTAGCAAAGATAAATCGATGCATTACAGAAGAGTTTGTATCGTACCAAGTGTTTGAATAGTAGCAGTAAGTGAGCTGAAAATCCAAACATAAAACGCGGACATGGTTATTGCCAATGGAAAGATGACGAGTAGAACAAGGAATCCAGCCGTTTCTATTTGCAGTGATTCGTTAGTATCAAATCAAGTATATACTTCATGTAACAATCCAATTTAGATGTGACTTACCAGGCGACAACAGCATCACACCGAGGGAATAGACCACACCAAAGAAAAAGTGGGTCAATGCGAGAATGACGCATCGTTTCATGGTCGAACCCAAGCTCGGTCTACAAATCCAGCAATAGTTGTCAGATGATTTCGTTCTAAACCTCAAAAGATACAGAGCGCAATTATGAACTGAAAACCTTACTTCACAACACTATAGCCCATACAGACGACTAACAGCATAAAGAAGGACATACTAGAACCATACATAAAGGGATCAGTTAGGCTTGTGAGATCCGCTTCCTTTAAAGAGTTATTTTACCTGTTTCGTCCTGCGCTCAGTAATGCTACTAGTACCAAGAGACCGTACGCTGGTACAATGGAAAATTATAATTAGCACTAGCTTCCCTTTACATCATACTCTAACAAGACCACCACACTGTTCACTTACAAGCACTTCCAGTTTGATTGTATGCTTCCCAAAAACCCCAGTTCACAGCCTACAGCATAGATCATAGAAGGTTATTTCCCAAACCAAATAAATGAGCAAGTAAATTATCAGTGGTAAGGACAATCCGCATACCATTTCAACGGTCAAGAAGAATATAGTGCCCGAGAGGAAATGCTGAACTGGCAGAATATCCTGCCAATAACGGTACGATTGAACAGCCCAAAAGAGACCTAAAAACATGCATTTAAACAAAAAACAACCTTGCTTTAAACGCACACAATTTACACAGCCTTCCAAGAAAACACTTGCACTTGCTACTTACCGACACAGAGATAAATAAGGGCGAATATACCGTAAAACTATAAAAAGGCAGTTATAAGAGCAATTAAAATACACATACTAATCAGCTTCAAGCCTTTTAAAAAAGGACTCTCTCCTCATAAATGTCAATAATATCTACCAATAGCTTTGGATAATCCGATGCTGGCAAGTTACCGTATGGCATTTTCATCTCAATCCAAGAATCAAAGTAAGCCGCAGTGCCGTTACCCGGATTTGACGGTAGGATAGCAACACAATAGTACCCTGTCTCTTCCACCTTGTAAAGTGCAATCTCGGGATCGGCTGTGTCCGACTTTCTCAAATCGAAAGCGTGTGTAAAAATGGACGATTTGTTTTCTTCATCTTGAGGAACAATAAAGCTGCCACGTTGAGACTGGTCGCACATTTCTTCGGCAATGGCATCCTCGTCGCAAATGTATTGCACCTAAACCATAGTGTTAATATGGATGCTTTATACATAAAAACGAGTGGAAGAATACAAGATCACGACACGTGAGTTTTCCACACTACCTCTCTTGTCATGTTACTGATTGTGCCAATTTTGTCGAAATCTTGCCATTCGTAGATGATAAGGGCAATTTCACCCTGCGAATCAGGTTGCATTGTCACTAAAACACAAGTGAAGACCAGATTAGCATGCTGTTTGTTGTTATTGCGTTTGGTATTAGAAAAAGGTGAGGTGCTTAAACGATAACATCCTCCATTACCTTTGATGAAAGCTTCTTGACCACCTGGAATCGCGTCTTTGCTCCATACACCCGAGCATTGTGTACTAAAATAATCGTCGCTGGTCTTTTTGTACATTTCATAATAAAAAAAAGTTTGTAAGTATTATGCATGAAGTAAATCACGAGTAAGCTCGATCCCGCTATTGAAGAATGCATACCATGTGTCTTTCATCCGCCCGTGTTAGCTGTGCTACAACAACTAGCAATGCTAGCCAAACAGTTGGTATCCGTCGCATATTTGAAAAGAGACAGAGAAAAAAGAGAGACGGCTACGTAAAAGACGTTCTTGGCAACTCTCTGCCTTCGCATTGTACACGGGAAACACGAAACTCAGCTCTATTTTACGTAAATCATGCCCCTGTACTCCCACTCATGCCGCCTGTTCTAGCTGTTCGAGAAATGTTAATGCTATAAGAGCATATCAGGGTAGCGTATTGCTGCTTTCTCATGATTCTTAACCAAGTCTTATCTGCGGTATGATTTAGTGTACGTATTGTAGTAGTGATGATAGCGCTTCACACACAAATTGAACCACCCAGTGCGAGTTCTCTTGTATACTTTTCAGCTGTATTGAAGGAGTAAGTCATTCTTGCTTATTACTCTTTGAAATGTTAAAAACACTATTATTAGCTACATCCACCCATTGTTTAGAGCATATCGGCTACTTGGCAATTGTACACAATTCATAATTTCCTTTCAGAGATTGGCTGGTCTCGTTTCCTGCAGCAAGCTGCTCCTCGAAAAGCATTTATTATAAGAGTTATTTAATCAGCCCATGCTCAGGATAGTTAGAAACACTTCTTCAAGAGAGTAGAAACGAAATCAATAAAATTTATTGTACACAAAGACAGAAGAAGACACGTTTATTTATTGTTGCTTGCAAATGACCGGCTTGTATATGAATCCTTCGTTCCTCAAAGGAGAGGTTGCTCTCCCTTGGTCTCCTCAAGCCTCAGTTCCAAAGGAACCTACACCTCCCAATAACAAATCACTACAAATAGAAGAAGATGGGTGAGAGTAGTTTGTCAAGAGGGGAATTACGTGTATACTTACTTTGTGAGTGCACTGCGGTAAAGAACTTTACGGCATGTAGTGCGCTCACGGATAGGGCTCGCTGCAATAGCGACTCGTGCACTGCGTCACAAAGATCCTAATGAAAGTCGCAAATGTACGCCGAAAACAATAACGAATACTGATTCTGCACGTACACCCACTCGGACCCAAGTAGTAGAAGACAGCCCTCAAATAGAAGAAGATGGGTGAGAGTAGTTTGTCAAGGGGGGAATTACGTGTATACTTACTTTGTGAGTGCACTGCGGTAAAGAACTTTACGGCATGTAGTGCGCTCACGGATAGGGCTCGCTGCAACAGCGACTCGTGCACTGCGCCACAAAGATCCTAAATGAAAGTCGCAAATGTACGCCGAAAACAATAACGAATACTGATTCTGCACGTACATCCACTCGGATCAAGTAGCAGAAGGCAACCCTTCAATAAAGAAGCTGAAAAGGGTATCGTTCAATGAAGTGGAAAAGGTGGAAAAGATCTTTCGACAGTGAGGAAGAAGAAAGAGAAAGGGAAATGCGCAGTCGAGTCCAGTTCTTTTGTAGGCGTCACAGTTTGACCTGTTTGACCATCCGATGTTGCACAAGGATCGCGAACAACGGATGACAATCTCTCAAGGGCCATGCTTCACACCGATAACACCTGCACATTGTAGACGCTCCAGGCTCCATGCACACACTCGTCCCATCTCGCTACTTGGCGATCACGATGAGTTTCGTTCTTTTCTGTTCACTGAAGCTTGCCTCTTATCGGTGTACCATATGCATAAGGGGCAAGAGTCGAGTGGGAACATTTCCGAAAGTGTGTGTAACACCAAAAATCTCTTATGATTTCATGCATGAACGGTGCTTCGGAAAGTTTTTCCAGGGCACCAATTCAATAACATGGAAATCGCTACCAAGTTCACTCCAAGTAAGTTTGACTTCCAAAATCAAAATATGTCACAACGGCCGAGTCAAAGAAAGAAGTGGTAGTGACGGTCAAGGGACACAGCCGCAACAACCAGGATGTCGATGAACAGAAGGAGTAGAAAGAAGAGCCAGGGAGCGACAACCTGTCGATGTGACGTTAAAAGAAATTATAGAGCGCGTCGTCACCTGGCTGCTCTTGTCGGCATGAGTTGCTCCTTACATCCACTACTCGATATATTTAGCGCATGTAATTAGCAAGGATGGCTTTAGCTTTTGTTCTAAGTTTGAAAATAGCAGTCAGGGTATACAGGATGACTGGCAGCAGATATGTAGGCAGTAGCAGGGACGGCAGAGAAAAGGTTGTAACCTGATGCTTTTTGAAGCCTTCGAAAGCCTCGGAAAGCTTTCCAGAGCATTCAAAAATCTCAGAAAGCAAACATGAATTTTCGACGTAAGGCTACCAATGAACGTGCGTCAGACCTCCAACATCTGGTCTTTATCGTGAGCGGTCGAGTACCTGTACTGTACCAGCCAATGACCTTAACAAAGATGTCCTCGCTTTTCGCGCTCCATGAAAACCCTTCTTTGGTAAGGCTTATGAGTTTGCTTTATTGACAACCAATTGCTGTTGCCTGCGGTGTGAGTATTTCTGCTGCGGAGACATTTTGGTATAACGAATGGTATCGTAGCCTTTTTCCGCCTGAGGAATCCCTAAGTGCTAAACAACACTCGGCAAGGATTTTTGGTATCCTAATACCCCCCCTACTACTGAGCGTTAGATTTTGCAGTTGGTGGCATTCCGTACGTAGTAGTGGTATTAAACGCGTCTCCTCGTTCATTTTTTGATTTATCCTGGGCGTCGTAAGATGTAAATTAATGTGGAAAGCACGGCAACAAGCTTTATGCATCTTAGACATGACATTCGGAATGATTTCTCGAGCGATGCATCTACTACTGGCCGCAACGAGCCCAAACCAGCGTGTATACACGATAACCCCTTGTATCCATCGGACACTCTAACCGTCTTTGTCAACAGTGAATGCATTAGTCAACACGTCACAACAGTTGGGAAGCGACGTTAGCGTCTAATAACCACATCCTTTGCCTCAGGTCTCCACCATAATTCTCGTAGGCCTGGTGATTTTTAAGTTTCTCAAACACACACACACACACACACAGTACACGCGTACGTAATAGCAGAAAAACGACGAGGTATCTTTTGATTTTATACAGCGCAATGCTTTTTATTAAACTACATACTGCTACTACTACATACCGCTGCTGCTACCACTGCTACCGCTGTTACTGCCACTGCTGATGCCACTGATACCGCTGCTGCTACTGCTGCCACTGCTGCTGCTGCTGCTACTGCTACTGCTACTGCCACTGCTGCTACTGCCGCTACCACTGCTACTGCCAATGCCACTGCTACCACTGCTGCTACTGCCACTGCTGCTGCTGCTACTGTCACTGCTGCTACTGCCGCTACCACTGCTGCTGCCAATGATGCTACTGTCACTGCTGCCACTGCTACCACTGCTGCTACTGCCACTGCTGCTGCTGCTACTGTCACTGCTGCCACTGCTACCACTGCTGCTACTGCCACTGCTTCTACTGCTACGGGTAGTCCTGGCTGAGACGACAAACTTTTGGACGCGGCCATCCCGATTCATCGTTATGCTCGTCGACACTGTGCACGGGTACTTTTTTGCATTCGAAATCTTGGTCACAATTTTCATGATTTCATGATTCAAAGAAAAGAGAGAGAGAGGAAGAGAGAGGAGCAAAGTAGCAGAAATCATTTCCATGCAGTGCTTTTATATCTTATCTGTTCGCTTGGACAGCTGATCCAAAAAAGGAAAAAAAGAAAATTGACAGCGTCACTTGCCAGCCCAGGTGATGCCATGTTACGCCGACAAGCAGTGTTGGACACGCCGAACTATGGGTCTGTCATCTCCCGAGGCATTCGGAATGCAACCTCACTGACATTCCCCTTTACAATGTGCTCACTTCAGGCTACACGTACACACTAGTCTTGTCTTTCTACATGGCTCTCACGAAGTGTCTCCATGTCGTCCATGATCCCGCTCTCTTGAAAACATTTTGCTACAAAAAGTGCAAGGCTCATTCTTCCTACTTCTTCTTTCGGGGTCGTCCGATGCCACTGCTGTAATTGATGATTGTACCACAGAAGTTCTAGATCGTTTGTTGCCCCTAGTAATATAGCCGACTGTTGCCAATGATGTGTACCACTAGTAGGAATATGTAAATGCGTAATGCGCTGCTTTATTATTATATATAATACGTAAATCAGCTGCATCAAACGTCGCATTCCTTGTCTTACTGAAAGTGCCGCCGCCACCATCAAAGAAAATGCTTTGCGCATCAGCACTGGTAGGGCTGGGTTAAGTCTTGTAATCGCCAGACACAGCGGCGCAGCGAAAATCCATCGGCAAAGATGAGCTGCCAAACGCACGTGAAGTCTCACCATCACCGTTTGCTCGGTTTCCGCTTCGCAGTTTCGTTGACACGGTAGCACCCATTGATGAGCTTGGATAAACGCAGTAATTTGGATATAGAAAATACATTGTTGTTCTTGCTGCACTTGTTGTTTCTTGACTACGACGTGCACTGACGATGGTGTGCCTACCACCGAGTTTACATGTAATTGTTGCTGTTGCTGTTCATGATGTAAGAGAACATTGATCAGGATTATCTGCCGGATTTTTTCCTCATATTTGATATACACATACCCGAGACTGACCAAGATAGTAATCCGCATTAGGTGATGATGAGAGCAAAGCCCTGATTCTGACTCTTCTTCCTTCTGTTACCTCGTGATGATAATGTTAACTAGGTTGGAGAATTGTTGGCGAGATTCCCAGAGATGCTTCATCATTGGTGATAGAGTTCTCTCGTTGGCCGTTTAGCA